ATCTAGAACTCAAGGTTCATCAGTAATACCATAGTCAATATCAATCCGGATACAACTCAGTCTGTATTCTCAGGTATCTGTCTTACAAGATAAAACTCAATCTAGAACTCAAGGTTCATCAGTTATATCATAGTCAATATCAAACCGGATACGATTCTGTCAGTATTCTCAGGTATCTGTCTTACAAGATACAACTCAATCAGGAACTGCATGTCGCTAAAAAATTTTTAGCCTATATCTATCTTCCAAGATATACCTTAGGTCTCTCTTGTTTTGCTACACGAGGCAGATAATTTTTCTAACACCGTAAACAAAGCATATTATTATTTCAACTCACATATATTTTTTGAGTTCTATGGTACAGGTTACATTAATGAACGTAATTACGTGTTGTTATTTACAATCGTAGTTAGGTTACAATGTACAACGTAATATATCTAGGTGTGTTCAGGTTTATAAATATGGGGTTTGCTACCATGTTTATTACACTTCTTATTCACCTGCTTTATTACTTTGTCTTCTTTCTTCCATTGTTATCCTTCACTTTCTTTTTTCCTTTCCTCTTCTTTCTCCTATCTTCTTTTTCTCATCTTTTCTTCTCCTTCTCTCCTTTTCTTCTCTTCCTTTCTTCTCCTTCATTTGCTTTATTCCTTTCCTCTCCTTTCTTCTTTCCTTCTTTTTTCTTTTTTTTCCTTTCTTCTCCATCTCTTCATTTCTTCTCTTTCTCTTCCTTTCTTCTCCGTATCTTCCTTTCTTCATTTTCTCTTCCTTTCTTCTCCTTATCTTCCTTTCTTCTCCTTCCTTTCTTTGCTCTCTATTTTTTCTGATATTGTAGTAGAGCTAATATCGCCCTTAACATGGTGATAAGTAATCCTTCAGTTAATAAATGTTCTTTTAAATGTTTTCTTTCTTACTTCGTCTTAATTCCCCCAATTTCCCATTTTTTCCCTTATTCATTCAAATATTTCTGTTTCTGTTCTCCTGTTCTACTGTAAGAAAATTTAATTTTATTCACAGTTGGAGGATACATAAAATGCAGGCAACTGAGAAAGGGGGTTGGGGGAGAGGGAAGGAGGAAGGGAAGGGGGTGCAAAAAGGGATGGAAGGTGTTATAGGGATAGGGAGGGGATGGAGTTCGTAAAGTAAAGTAAAACAGAAGGCGCTGAGCAACAAGGTTCTGAAAGAGTGTAACACATAGAATTTTGTTTTTATATTTCTACCTTGAGTTTAAAAGAATACATGTCTGTTGTACACTTGTACTATTACACTTTTTTAGCTTAGCTACATAATGATAAGGATTTTTATAAGATTTCACCTAATAAAACTTTTTTATTTTGAAGGTTATCTTGTAAAGGTACGTATTTTAGTTTAAAAATTGAACTAGTCGTAAACAGAGATAAAGTCTAGTAGTGTTTGTAATACAGCGTGAATATTTTTTATCATCAACTTTAAAGACTTTCCACATTTGTCCAACCTCTTCGTGTTCTAGCTTTAGTTGTAACTGCATTTCATTTTAATGCAATACATCTGTTTTATTGTAGATTTATTTGTTTAAAGGTGGTGTAGAAGATGGAGTTATCCCTGTTAATCTATCTTTAAATTGATTATAATCAATTCAGTTTTATCTACTAGTAACTTGCGGATTTATGCATTAAAAGAAAAAACAGTTGTCAGAATTTAACACTTTCTTTCATACAGATAAACCATACAATCTAACTTGTTAATTCTCAGAAAAAAAAAACATTTATTTTTCGTTATCACTGGAGTTCAATACTTTCCTGCATTTAACCTTTTTTCATGTTGATAGTTTTTTTTTTTTTAAAGAGATTTTTTTGTCCCCAGGACATGATCGGGTTGTTACGATCAAATCTCGGAATTTTTTCTATTGCGTAAGTTTGGTGTTGTTTGGGTTTTTATATTGATCTACCAGGGGTTATAATCTGGCAGCACATTCATCCATCCACGCTTCATTCATTCTGAGAAGAGGGTTGACAAGATTCCAGCTGCCTAAGATTCTTCTTAGGCCTGAGAATATAGAGATATCTTTATAATTTATTTAATTTTTTTGAAAATAGGTAAGGTTTCTCATTGTATCTCATTTGCAATCTAAATAATGAAAATTTTGATGTTATAGGATTTAAAATTGTATTAAATAATTCAGCTGTGACAAGGAGATGTAAATTTCGAAAATTCAAACTTTATGTAGATACATTATTTTCATAGCATGTTTATTTTATATAATTAACAAAATTTGACACCACAAATAATTCCCGAGATTTTAAATGTACAAATATAAAAGATTTTTCGAAATTTACGATCAACAGCTGCTGAAGGCTCAAGTCTTAAAGATAGAAAAACCCAAGATGTTTGGTTCTTACTAAACTCAAGTCCACCCAAAGACCAAAACCCGGGTCTTGACTTGAGCTTTATATACTTGGGTCTAAGCAGACGCAAAGACCGGGTTTTACTCGGGTTTAAGCTTTTAAAATCTCATCTCTGGTCATGTGATACGGAAATTAAAATAATATTATCAATTATATCTTTTATAAATGAAAAAGTATTGAATTCGAATAATAATAAAAGCAAACCTAAGTTTCTAAGGCTCCTCTAGGATATGATTGTTTTAAGATTGTTTTCGCATTTGCTGAATATGATCCGTTTAAATCTGCCATTTTTATACAAAGTTTATTTATATAAACATTCGTATAAATTTGACACAGCTTTTTTTTTTATCAATTTCTCGAGACAGGAACATCAGAAAAAACTCTCATGGTCTCGATCAACTCCTAAAATGCTTAGATTTCAGCCTGTTCCCCCCTTTCATTTTTCCTTTTCAGTCCCTTTAAATTGGTGGATTTACAAAAATTTTCAAGATTTCAGGCACATTTGTTTCAATTTCAACCAGCCAAAGTTATATGAACTCCACTAAAAACTCCCGTTGAGTCGTTTTGACGTTTATTGGATACAAACAAACACCAGACAAGCCAAATATGCTACTGTACTGTCTAGCTAAACTTTGGGAAGGGTGGCGTATTTAATGCTCATATTTCAATTGTTTTTAAACTCATCTGCTAACAATTTAAGGACTTCTTTTACAGGGGTTTTTGGTATGTTTAAAAATACAACACGTGCATAATAAACAATGTAAATATTGACACGTATGTACAATTCAATGTGACTCAAAACAACGAAAAATTGTTAATTTTAACATGAATCCCTGTTTTCTAAATTCTCTAAAGTCTATGAAATGTTTTTAAATTGCGTTTTGAAAGTAAATGGAAACTTAAGTTAGTTCTTGCTTGATTGATTTTTTAAAATTAAGCCAGTACTTAACTATACACTGTGCAATAAAAAATTCCCTTTTTAAATCTTTTAAATTGCTAATTTTAAAAAGTCAATTAAGATGTTGCGAGGTGAAATAGTTTTTAAATTTATCAAATATGGTCCAAAATAACAAGTATCACCAACCGCCTTGTTGCGTGTATAAAAGAATATAAATTGTGATATTTTTATAAACTTTAACAAAGCTTTACTAATTAGAATATCATCCTTTTGTTATTTTAGAATCCCATTGTCCAGAGCTGGAATAATAAAAATTTTGCCAATTACTTCTTTAATACTTAAGCTAAAAACAAGTATACTTTAATGTTCTAAAATGTTCATTACTAAGGCTACAGAAAAGTATAAGTGAGTTTGTGAGGTTAAACCAAAGGCAAACCCAGTCTTGAAAATTGATTTATTGATTGAACGCTTTATAACTCTTCCATGTGCCCGGTGTTGCCCAGCTTTATGTTATTACTCGTTGTTACTACCGCCATTTACCCACGCTTGAGTTTAGCTAAAGTGCCCGGCGCGTTTTAGCGTGAAATTTCACCTGCGGCGGTACCCATGGGTTCCCTCAACAAATATCAGTCAATTTGGTTCAGCCGTTTGGCCAGCTAACGCGAATATATATAATGCTTGTCACATCCTACATATTTTATCTAGAGATTTAAACTTTAGCCATTTACGCGTGTTCTAGAGGTTGGGTAACCTTAAAAGTCAGAGGAGGGTACGTCTTTATCGTAGAAAAGGTCCTAGAAGGTTTTTTATAGTTGTAATCTACGTTTCAACAAACCAACTAGTATTTTTTCCTGGGACCTCTTTGGAGCAAATACTGTCGAAATCTTGCTCGACAACTTTGTATGCAGCACCAAAGCAGATGTCACACTCGTCAAAAATCATCAACTAAGAAGCCTTGTGAATTTAGATTGAGAAACGTTCAACTGTGTCAACTGTTTTTTGGGTTTTTGCGGATTTTTTTCTGCTCAGACATTTCCTCGTTCTGCCAACATTCTCCAATACGCTAATTCCCTTTTAGTCCACATGTAATGTAGGCTATTGCCTTGTCCATATTATTATCTCTAATGCATTTGGAATCATATCAAAGGTTTTTATTAAAGAGATACCATGTTTGTTGGTACTTTCTGTATAAATAAAAAGTTTGATGAATAAAGTCCGCTGGAAGAAGACTACCGGGATGGATACAGTGAGCTTTGAAAAAAATTACAGGGCTACGACGTCTAGAAGTTCCTTTAGAAAAACTTATTAAACATACCTCGTATGGACGCAGAGCTTTATTATTTAGATTTTAAAAATTCTTTAAAAAACATTCGGATAAACGGCCCTAGCTTTTATGGCGTTTAGTCCACATTGTGTACTAAAAAGTGCAAGTTCTGAGTTCGAATTCAATAAATTTGAGCCACGTCTCAAATCCACCAAAAACCGGTTATAAATGAGCGCCAGCTTAAATCTTGAAACAATTAATACAATTTGAAGTGGAACAACCATATTTGAGCCGCATCTCAAATCTAAGTCGCGGCTCAAATTCTTTAAATTTGGCCTCTGCAAAAAAATTGAGAATGTCAAACCATGGGAAACCCTTTAAAATCGGTCTGGTCAGAAACACTGATGCATATTAGTCTCTATCTATTTGTATCCATCAGAAGTGCAAAATCGTGTTTTTACATTTTTCCAAATAAAACGCGCAATTTCAATATTTTAGGAAATATGGAGAATTTTGGAAAAATTGTTCAGGAGCTTCGGGGGTCTTTCATGAAAGGTACGTACTTTTAAAAACCTTATCTGGATCCAAATAAAAATAAACATTTATCTTTCTTATCATAATTAATAAACTATAGAACTTGAAAGGGATTGTAGGCGGGATTTTAAGTGGCCTTCTATTTTAAGAGGCATAAAAATCATTTGCGATTTTAAGCAGAAAGGATATTAAAGGAAAATATCAGAATTTAACACTATTTAAGATAAAGAACGACGATTTTTACTAATGTTTACTCAAATAAAGCTTTAAATCAAACATGATCCTGTTCTAAAAATGGGAGTTACCTAAAATTGCGTTCACAATTTCACATACTGAAAAATAATCATGGAAATGATGAAAAAATTGAAAATAAATTTAAAATCTGTATTGTAGTCTCATCTCATTTATGCATTCAGAAGTATTGGCAGCATTACATAAAGTGCCTTTTTTTAAGTTGTTTCAATTACAAAATGTGTTCTTAAATATTAAAATACTTGGCGTTTAGAGTGCTTCGCGCCCATCTTCTATTCAATTGTGAACATACAAACAAAAAATCGTGAATTTTCAAAAATTAATCAAAATCCAATTTGTTGGAGGCAAATTTTGAAATTTTGACCATTTAAAAACCTTCCCTGGGGACATTTGAAGTCCCACACAAAATTTGGGGACGATCTGTTAAGCCGTTTTGACGTTTATTGGATACAAACAAACACTGAGACACCCAAAATATATTTATAGACCAGGCATTAAGGGTGTTTGCTTCATTATTCTTTTATAATTGTGAACATTTTCTCTTTGCGTCCATTGTAAAACAAAAACAAACAAAAAATTTCGCGAATTTTATAAAAAAAAATTTGATTTTCAAAATTTTCAAAAATCGAATTTTGTTAGAGGCGAATTTTTGAAAATTAGATCATACATATAGTCCTTCCCTGGGGTCCCGCGAGGTCCCACAAAAATTGGGCCCGATCGGTTCTGTCGTTTTGACGTTATTGGATACAAACAAACTTAAAGGAATTATTAATGCCCAAAATAAATGCGTAAGAAACATACTTTGCAAAATGAGGCTATATTTAACATTATAGTACGATCATTACTTTATAGCACTGTTCATTATGAAATTCACGATGAAGTAAGTAATAATGATAAAGTACACAATAGTTTCATAAAATAAATATATATATCAATGATTTTCTGGTCATTAATTCATCTGACAGCGGTAAAATTTGCTTAATGCAACAAAATTTAAGTTTTTTGAGTTGTTTTTCTTTCAATCCCTTTAATTCACCTCCTCTACACAATTTGAAAACTGGAGAAATAATAAAATAGAATAAACAAAATGTAGAATCTGAATGCGGCATTATAATTCGTAGAATTCGTAAATTCTTTTGTTTAAACAAAAATCATTTATTTCTTTAGAGATAAAACTTTAAAAAGTTGATTTCTTGGTTTGTTCTTTGTGATATAAACTTTACTGATTGAAAATGCTTTTTAAATCATTGACTTTTTATCAATCTTCAGGGTTTTAACACTTGTTGTATTTTCTAAACAAAATCAGACTTTTGTATGTTTTAAAACAACGTTAACAGACTCTGCTGGCATAATTTCGAGTGGCCTTCTTTTTTTAGAGTGGCATGTTCGATTGACAAAACTTTATTTAAAAATTGATTGTTTTCACTTGTGCTTTGTTTGAAAATGTGGTTTGTGGATTAATGCACTTGTTTAGATAGAAAAGAGTAGAAAAGGGTTTAGTGTAGAGGACGAGTAAACTCATGAAAATAATAAATGATAATTCATCGACTAGATATAAATTTAACAGGATTACATTGTAATTTTGTTGAGTCATGATTTTTAAATTAATTCGTCTAGTAGGATGGTTTCTGACAGTACGTTGATATTTAGTTTATAGTAAAATTAATCTGCCTAAAGTAAAAATATGCCAAACTTATCAATGCCTGAAAAGAATAAAATATTAGTAAAGAATAAAGTTCTCCCCTATTCTCTCTATCTCTTTTCTACTCTGTCCAAAATGTCCTGGAGGTGGGGGGGGGGGGCATCTTTATATTCTGATTGCGATATCTAAACAATAGTATTTTATAAATTTTTAGAGTCTATCTTATTTTTTTAAAAATATACCTTTAACCTTTAATGGTTAGGGTGCCACGGAGGTTTGAAAAAATTAAAAAGTTCGGCGGAAAAATGTTTAAAAATATTTGAGACAGATGTGTTACATTCATTTTTGAATAAATCAATAGATTTGTAACTAAATTGATAAAAAAGTTGTGAACTATTTTAGATTTTTTCGAAACACCGACCAGTCGTTGACTAAAAAAGTGAATAAGTTTTAGCGCTCTATTATAGGCCGTTTTTAAATTCTGAAGAAAAAATTACAGGAGACGGGAGGATGGAACAACACTCTNNCCCCCCCCCCCAATAAATTATGGTTTTTGCAAAGTAAAACTGAACATATGCAAAATCATTTAAAGCTGTGGGAAACCTTTGTAATTTATTTTTTCAAAACTACTTCTTATCAGTTGCTTTCCCAAGAGCTGTAATATTTTAAAATTCAATGACTGTAAGTGGGTCTAAATATAGAATTATTCTGGTGTAGATAAGGAAATCAGGCACTGAGCAGATTGTGTTAGACCCCCCCCCCCCTTACGAGTGGGAATTTTAAAATATCTGTTTAGGACGAACTAGATCAATTGAGTTCAGAATTCAACAGCTCAAGAATATTGAGAGGTGAGTAAGTGATTAAAAGCCGGACTATAGACATTAGACATAACTATATTTAAGAAGGTTCAATCTTTAAAAGTTCGGCTGAAATGAAAATATTATAGTACATGAATAAAAATCAATAAAGCAATGCACTGAGTTTCTCAAATATTCAACGAGTCGGTTTTTCTTACAATATATTTATATACAAAAGATGCAAAAATACAAACTTTAAATCGAACGATACTATACAAACTAAATATTATGAATCAATCAGTTTCATCAAATAGGGGAATTCTTCAAGGGAACCTTAATTCAAGGGAGCTGAATCACAACTGCCTTTTTTCCCTCTATTTCGCTCCACCCTTAGTTCGCATTCTACCCCACGCCCTGTGAGCTGGCCGGCCAGCTCACCAGCTCCCGGGTTCGGGGATAACGGATTTCTCCGCGTGGCTTGGGTTAAATATAGAAACCAAACATAAACAAGAAAACCCGTTAAACATCAGTAAAAGGTGGGGGGGGGGGAGGCAAAATGGGGTTGAGTGCGAACGAAGGGTAAAAATAATGATAAACAAAATGCTATTTACAGTCGCAGGAAAGATCAAAACATCATTTTCCTGCTACAATATTCCTGCTTATTCCTATAGAACATGCAGCCACATGAACCCAATTAAGATAAAAAAATCAAGCCCGAAATTTGTTCAAATAAATAAGACTATGAGGGTCTTTGAACTTCGCTCAATCAGGATACCTTGTCAATATTCGATCGTCAAATTAATCACTACTAATCACGAATTAAGTATCAAAGCCAATATCTCATTTCTTAGAAGATTTCAAGTTCTATTTTATTTATATAATAAAACAAGACATGTTGCCTATAGCCAGCCAAACGGCTGGACCGATTGGGCTGAATTTTTTTGTGGACACTCAGGGGTGGCCGGGGAGTGTTATAGGCTATAAAAAAAATTCTAAATATATTTTTTTCAATTTTTTTAAAACATTTTTTTCATGGGCAACGCCGGGCCCTTCAGTTAGTTCTTTGCAATTTTAGGATGATGATAGAGAATGAACAATGTTTTATTGATGCTCTGAAGTCGGATCTGAACAAACCTGTTCAGGTAGCCCTGATACAGAGGATATTTATGACAGATTTAACAACTAGAACTGACCGGTCCAGGTAGCCCTGACACAGAGGATATTCATGACAGATTTAACAACTAGAACTGACCGGTTCGGGTAGCCCTGACATAGAGGATATTCATAACAGATTTAACAACTTTAACTGACCGGTCCAGGTAGCCCTGACACAGAGAATATTCATAACAGATTTAACAACTTGAACTGACCGATCCAGGTAGCCCTGACACAGAGGATATTCATAACAGATTTAACAACTTGAACTGATTACAGAGGATATTCATGACAGATTTAACAACTTGAACTGACCGGTCCAGGTAGCCTGACACAGAGGATATTCATGACAGATTTAACAACTTGAACTGAAACAGAGGATATGTATGACAGATTTAACAACTTAAACTGACACAGAGGATATTCATGACAGATTTAACAACTTGAACTGATTACAGAGGATATTCATGACAGATTTAACAACTTGAACTGACACAGAGGATATTCATGACAGATTTAACAACTTGAACTGACACAGAGGATATTCATGATAGATTTAACAAAATTATTGTTTAATATTCATTGCACTATTTAAATTCATACTTGAGTCCCACAGTCGTCTTCCTATTCCACAGTTTTATGGGTTCCACAACTCTTTTAAATTGCTCGAAAATTTATGTGAGAATTCATCTAATATTGCAAATGAAACCTATGTTGATAAACTGTCCTCGAACAAGTCTCTAGTAAAGTCAAACATTATTTACGCAAATCTAGCTAAAAATGCGTGGAGAATTCCACTGTTATAAGATTTACTATTAATCCGGTCAAATCAAAAGGTTTTAGACGGATTTAGTTATGATGAAATAGCTGAAATATATTGACAATGTGTGTAAAAACTAAATAAGTTTTTTATTGTTTTCTACTTTATATTTATTCTATATTTTATATGTTATATATCTCATTCCTCGTTGCTTTTAAACTGTACCATTATAATTGTGTACGAATAAATAGAATAAATAAATTTTAGGATACTATTCTGGCTGAGATAGATTATGTAAAAAATGATTGCATATCTCTCATTAGGTAATTAGACAAATCTTTATATATAAAGTAGTAATCTTTGTTTGTCCGATCATAGCTCAGAAACCCTTTGACCGGTTTGCCTCAAATTTTGATCGGGGAAATCGTTAACCAGGGGAACATGGATCAACATTATATTTATTACGTAAAACTATGTTATAAATATTTTTGTAGAAACATCCATAAATGGACAGCTGATCAACCTGTTGCTAAAAGTCCTACAACACTGATGGATAAGGTTAGGATTCTCTAATTCCATGATAAAAATTCCCCCCCCCCCCTTTCAGTAAAAGAGAGCGCTAATTGTCTGATTTTTATAATGTTTTAAAACTATTTCAATTTTCACTATGCAAAAAATGTAAACCAATTACTTGAATTTTAGAAGTTTTTGCGGATTTTTGTTATATCTCATTTAATGTTTTTTTTTTGAAATTTTGGGACACAATAATATATAAAATAAACATTTTCTCGTCAATTAAAAAAAAAACATTTTTTTTAAAATTTGGTTCCGCGGATTTTTTACAAAGTTCCAAAAATATTTTGAATATTTTAGTACAGTTTTAGTTGTTATGCATAAAAACCGAAAAAAATTAAAAATTTTTCTTGAATCATTCATGCAATTATAAAAATCTAAAATTGATTTTGTTACAGCCGTATCTTCATCCGGAACCTTTTGGTGTAGCGTTGATCATTGGTGCCTGGAACTTCCCTCTTCATCTTAGGTAGGATTATCATCATTATCATCATTATCATCATTATCATCATTATCATCATTATCATCATTATCATCATTATCATCATTATCATTATTATCATCATTATTATCATTAGCATCATTATCATCATTATCATCATTATCATCATTAACATCATTATCATCATTATCTCATTGTCATCATTATCATCATTATCATCAATGGTTGAAATATCACAAAATACGATTTCTTCACATTACAAACAATTTTTGTGAATAAAGAAATGTGCTCTCGGATCCTATTATTACTTTCCTCGGACAAAATATAATTCTTTCAATTTGGTTTCCCCAGTAGACAAGCATTGTTGAAAGTTTAATATCTAGTAGAACATAAGAAATGGTGGTAATATGAAGGAGCAGAGAATTTAATCTATAGAGTGTTTAGGTTAAATATGAATTGTTCATGGGATAGAACAAGGAAGTAATATATGTGGAGAGAACAAGGAAGGAGTATATGGGGAGAGAACAAGGAAGTAATATATGGGGAGAGAACAAGGAAGGAATATATATGGGGAGAGAACAAGGGAGGAATATATGGGGAGAGAACAAGGGAGGAATATATGGGGAGAGGACAAGGGAGGAATATATAGGGAGATAACAAGGGAGGAATATATATGGGGAGAGGACAAGAAAGGAATATATGGTGAGATAACAAGGGAGGAACATATATGGGGAGAGGACAAGGAAGGAATATATGGGGAGAGAACAAGGGAGGAATATATGGGGAGAGAACAAGGAAGGAATATATGGGGAGAGACCAAGGAAGGAATAAATGGGGAGAGAACAAGGAAGGAATATATGGGGAGAGAACAAGGGAGGAATATATGGGGAGAGAACATGGAAGGAATATATGGGGAGAGAACAAGCGAGGAATATATAGGGAGAGAACAAGGGAGGAATATATGTACCGGAAAGAATAAAGTTTTTTCAGTGAAAAGTATCTACTTTTATAGAGTAGTTTTTGCTTTTCACAACAATGCTCTGAGGAGCTTTGTATGATCAAGATTTGATGAGATATCCAGGTTTTTAATTATAAAAATTGATTTTTTCAACTGCATGCATGTGACTCGAGAATTTCTGCAACAGAGACGCTGAAGGAAATTGTCAGATTTTAACACATTAAAGGATACCACTGTAAGTTGGGCATGTTAATCTTTGAATTAGGGTTGTTTGGTTACATTATTTAACATACAGATAGTTTCCATTTGATCCTGTTTTCTTTACTTTCTCTCCCTCAACTTTCCCACTTATAAAATTGTCACCATCTTTCTTCATTTTCAAGATAATTCTAAATTTGCGGGGCAACAGCTACACACAAGGTTAGGTTAAAATAACAATTGAAATAGGTTGGATTTAGGTTTTTTTTCAGAATTTTCTCTTTGAATCAATATTCTGATGCAGTCATTCATACGGTAAATTTAGGTCTTTTTCAATTCATTTTTTCATTTTTAATTTTCATAGTCCTCACGTTACGTTTGGGTCAATCTTTAGATCATATTAAGATCACTGTTATCATTCTGTAGATCATGTTTAGATCACTCTCTAGATCATGTTTAGATTCCTCTGTAGTTCATGTTTAGATCACTCTTTAAATCATGTTTACATCACTCTTTAAATCATGTTTAGATCAATCTTTAGATCATGTTTAGACCACTGTTTAGATCATGTTTAGATCACTCTTTAGATCATGTTCAGATTCCTCTGTAGATCATGTTTAGATCACTCTTTAAATCATGTTTAGATCACTCTTCATATCATGTTCAGATTCCTCTGTAGTTCATGTTTAGATCACTCTTTAGATCATGTTTAGATCACTCTTTAGATCATGTTAAGATCACTCTTTAAATCATATTTAGATCACTCTTTAGATCATGTTTAGACCACTGTTTAGATCATGTTTAGATCACTCTTTAGATCATGTTTAGATCACTCTTTAGACCTTGTTTAGATCACTCTTTAGATCATGTTTAGATCTCTCTTTAGATCATGTTTAGATCACTCTTTAGATCATGTTTAGATCATGTTTAGATCACTCTTTAGATCATGTTTGGATCACTTTTAAGATCATGCTTAGATCACTCTATAGATCATTTTTAGATCATGTTTAGAGCATGTTTAGATCATGTTTAGATCATGTTTAAATCATGTTTAGATCATGTTTAGAACATGTTTCGATCATGTTTAGATCATGTTTAGAACATGTTTCGATCATGTTTAGATCATGTTTAGAACATGTTTAGATCATGTTTAGATCATGTTTAAATCATGTTTAGATCATGTTTAGAACATGTTTCGATCAAGTTTAGATCATGTTTAGAACATGTTTAGATCATGTTTAGATCATGTTTAGAACATGTTTAGATCATGTAAAGATCCCTCTGTAGTTCATGTTTAGATCACACTTTAGATCATGTTTAGATCACTCTTTAGATATTGTTTAGATCACTCTTTAGACCTTGTTTAGATCACTCTTTAAATCATGTTATATCACTTTTTAAATCATGTTTAGATCACTCTTTAAATCATGTTTAGATCACTTTTTAGATCATGTTTAGATCACTCTTTAAATCATGTTTAGATCCCTCTTTAGATCTTGTTTAGATCACTCTTTAGATCTTGTTTGGATCACTCTTTAGATCATGCTTAGATCACTGTTTAGATCTTGTTTAGATCCCTCTTTAGATCTTATTTAGATCATTCTTTAGATTTTGTTTAGATTTTGTTTAGATTACTCTTTAGATCTTGTTTAGATCACTTTTTAGATCTAGTTGGATCACTCTTAAAATCATGTTTAGATCACTCTTTAGATCACTCTTTAGACCATGTTTAGATCACTCTTCAGATCATGTTAACATCACTCTTTAGATCATGTTAGATCATGTTTATATTATATTTAGATCACTCTTTAGTTGATGTTTAGATCATATTTAGATCATGTTTAGATAATATTTAGAATACTCTTCAGATCATGCAAAACCCCCTTCTCCCCTCACCTCACCTTGAGCTTGTATCCCGTCATGTTTCTATTCTGGGTGTTTTCCTACTAATATTTTCTACTCCCAGGGGACTATCTAGAGAATTTGTTTAGAAGACTAAACATAAACCTACACAGCAACAATGCGCAAAAATATTTAAATCTAACAGAGCAGATAAATAAGAGAATATGTTGATATGGACCTATGTACTGGTACACTCTGTATATATATACAGGGTGAGTCAAACAATTTTGTATTTTTCGGATTTTAGGCATAATAACGATGTTTATTCTGTTTTTGTCAACATTTTATAAAAAGTAATTAAAAATTGAGTGAGATATCACCAAAAATTCTTAAAAAGTTTTGAGTTTAAATTTGCAGTAAATGTTATCAAATTATAACCTTGGAACTAGCTGTTAAGACTTCAAAAATGCAAAATTGCTTACTTTTTTTGTTATATCTCTTTAAATTTTTGATGAATTTTTGTGAAACTTTGGACAACAATAGAATAAAACGTTTTTCAACAACATTTTGGTTTCGTAGATTTTTAAGAAAATTTTTTTAATCACATTTTATTTTGTCCTATCTAAAACATCGACACTCCCGTTTTTTTACTCATCCTGTAAATATATATATTTAAATATATTTATATACATATATTATATTTTGTGCGAGTATATTTGTGAATATTTGTAATTCCTGTTTAGAAAGTTCTAGAGTAAACCAACTTTTTCTGGAATACTAATTCAAACATAGAACTAATGCAGTGAGGAGGGGGTAGCAGAGCATAAAATAGAATTCTCTTTGATCATAACAAATGTGTTTAATTAGTAAACTTATATACCCTTAGCTGTCTCATATTCTGGGTATTTAGAGGGAAAAGTGATTAAATTTAAAGTTTTTTACATCATTTAAATAAATTCTTAGTATTTTGTTCAATCATAACTTATTGAGAGTACAGTATGAAATAAAAATTGAAATGAAGAGAAGATGATTAAATTGGAGAAAAATGTCTCTTCTTTCATATTTCTGTGGATCTACACGTCCCAAACTAACACTTGGCCCATTTCTAACATTCAGCGTTCGAAATGGGCCAACTGTTAGTTTAAGAACTAACTTTCTCTGTATTTTAGAAACCCTTACTGGCTCCACGCAATTATCTATCAAACCAAAAGTGTAACAAATGTTTGCAACAAAATTTGATTTTTATGCCTATATCATTGCAACCGAAAGTCGAGGTTGAACCTCAGATATTATTTAAGAAAATAATTCTGTGATAAAATCATCTAACAGCTCGTAAAGATATAGAGATTAGAACTTTTAAGCTTGTAGCAAAGCCTCAATTCCTTTATCATCATTATTGAAGATACATTGAAAATTTGAATGTCATTATTGACGTAAAATACAGCTGTACTATTGTATTTGGTTTATATAAAAAATGTATTTTCTTTTTAAAAGATAAAACGTTAATCTTTAATTATCTTTAATGCTCGGGTAATTTAATGGGAAACAATATACTTTAATTAACATTTTATGTTAAAAACCAATCATAATAACTTTTTAGTATAGGATGTCAATGCCCCCCTCCCCTTCCTCCACTCTATAATATCCCCCCCCATCTCTTGCACTCCACAACATGATGAGTAATAAGAAACTATTGTTTTGTTTTTCAAGTAACACTAAAGAGAGTTATTATTGCTTTGTCAATAGATGCTCACTAAGTATTTTTTAATAAAACATAAATGTACAATGTTAAAACAAATATTTCTATTAAAGGGACTGGAAATGTAATGTCAAGTAACCCTCCAATAGGAGAGGTACAACCCCGATTCACATCACTATCCTTGAATAAAACATAATAAAACATAAATATACAATGTTAAAACAAATATTTCTATTAAAGGGACTGGAAATGTAATGTCAAGTAACCCTCCTATAGGAGAGGTACAATCCCGATTCACATCACTATCCTTGAAACCTTTATCTTATCAATAATGTGGACAGTTTCATTTGAAAAGTGTTTAATTCTGACAATGTCTACATTTTCCTGCAGTAGAAATGCCCAACTCAATTTTGCAGAGAAACTCCATTTAAAATTGATCAGCTTTGATAATTATAAACATTGATATCTAATTCATTTTGATCAGTTTTAAGTTTGGAAACATCAGTCAAATTTGTGAAACCGTTAATTTACTAAATCAATAAATATAATTTTACTATTTCCAGCTTGGCTCCTCTTACCCCTGCGATAGCAGCTGGAAACTGTGCTGTGATAAAACCAAGTGAGATAGCTCCAGCTACAGCTAAGGCGCTTGCTGATCTTATTCCACTATACTTGGATCAACAATGTTACAGGGTTTGTACTTGGATTTTAAAAAAGTTATTAATTTATTAGTTGATGATGTTGATATAATGTATTAAAGCAATAGATATAATGCCTCCAATTAATGTTTAAGGATATAGAATACCTCCACTTAATGGTTAATGGATGCCAGCAATTTATGGTTAATATAATGTCTTCACTTAAAGGTTATCGAGATAGAATGCCTCCAATTAATGTTTAAGAGAATAAAATGCCGCAAATGGTTAATGGGCTAGAATGCCTCCACTTAATGGTTAAGGAGATATAAGGCCTCTTATAATGGTCAAGGAGATATAATGCCTCTAATTAATGGATACAGGAATAGAATGCCTCAATTTAATGTTTATGGAGATAGCAATGTCTCCACTTAATGGTTAAGGGGATAATACCTCAACTTAATGTTTAAGAGGATAGAATGCCTCCATTTAATGGTTAAGAGGATAGAATGCCTCCACTTAATGGTTAAGGGGATAGAATGCCTCCACTTAATGGTTAAGAGGATAGAATGCCTCCACTTAATGTATAAGAGGATAGAATGCCTCAGCTTAATGGTTAAGGGGATAGAATACCTCCACTTAATGTTTAAGAGGATAGAATGCCTCCACTTAATGGTTAAGAGGATAGAATGCCTCAACTTAATGGTTAAGGGGATAGAATGCCTCCATTCAATGGTTAAGAGGATAGAATGCTTCAACTTAATGGTTAAGAGGATAGAGTGCCTCCATTCAATGGTTAAGGCCTCCACTTAAAGGTTGCGGGAATAGAATGCCCCCACCTAATGGTTAGGGAGATATTATGCCTCCACTTAAAGGTAGTGTTCGCGAAAAATGAAAGGGGGTATTGGCTTAATGCGATTTAAAAGCGCTTTTGATCGCTACTAATAATAGAATGCCTCCAAGTAATAGTTAAGGGGATAAAATGAAAGTAAGGAACTTTAGAGCATTTTCAACAAAAAATAAATTTGTGTTTTTCACAGAATTTTGCATTAACATGTGTATCTTTTCTGCTTAAATCTTGATTATGAACGATTTTTTAACTAACAGTGGGGTTTTAGTATTTTTTTAAAATTTGAATTAAGCATTTAATCTATGAAGGGTGTGACATGTAAATGTAATCTGTGTCATTTTTGTAGAGAAACTATAAGAAATTTCTAAAAAAAATGTTAAAANAAAAGTAATCTGTGTCATTTTTGTAGAGAAAACTATAAGAAATTTCTAAAAAAAAACTGTTAAAACAGGTTTATCTATTTACTACTTATATTTACTATTTATACTTTTATCAGAAAAGGTTAAAAGGGAACCGTTTAAACGTTTATCTTACTCTTAGGTTGTATCTGGAGGGGTGCCTGAGACAACTGAACTCCTCAAGCTTCAATTTGATTATATTTTCTACACTGGAAGTACAGTAGTTGGAAAAATTATTGCGTAAGTTCCAATGCTTTAAATTTGGCCCGTTTTCTAGGCCGGAAGTTTTTTTTCAATCGAGTATTTGAGCTCTAAAAAAATTCCAATATCTTTTTTTTTTTTAATCATTTCTTTATCTTTAATGAAGAGCCAGAAACTGATCATTTAAATTCCTTGACAAAGAATTATAATTTATTACAATTTCCATAAAACTTTGATTGATTTTTTCCATTCATACAAAAATTTGTGAATTTGTGAGATAGGGAGAGGGTTTAGAATAAAAAAATGCGAATGTAAAAAATGTTTATAAAGTTTAAAGACAAAATCATCAGGGAAATATTATAGTTAATTTATAGTTTACAATGCTTCATGTAGGCGCTTTAAAGGGACTGTAAGCGTGCCTCCTCCACCCCTTTTATTCATCGCAATCACTCCCTGTAAAAGTGATATCTCCGTTTTACACCTTTGATTATAATCATCGAGGAGAGTCCAAGTTTCTTTAAGATGTTATTTTTTCGTTTCATGAAAAAATGTTTTTCTTTTTATTTCTATAAAGGTTATTTCATTAAGATATTTAAAAGAAAAGTGACCCAGAAATAATTGTATGCTCGATATTTCTTATTTGAAATAATGTCTAGCGAAGCTGCTGCAAAATATTTAACCCCCTGCACTCTGGAGCTCGGTGGTAAGGTAATTTTAAACATTTTTATAGCAATGTTAACCACAATCCATCATATCATACCTCACAAAGCCCCCTAGCTAACTTAAAGTCTATTTTTTAAATTAATTTGAAGAGCTTGTCAGATCTTTTTAAAAATAAATTGTAAATTTTCTAAAAATAAATGAGGAATTACAGTATAACTAAAAATGGATGAAGTGAAAATTGTGTGTATTCTCTTTAGAATCTTTTTATATTACCCCTAATGTTAACTTAATTGTAATTATTAATCAACTCAAAGAAACAATTATTAAATCTTTAAACCTACTCAGGAATAATATTGGAATACCAATTTAGATTTAGATTAATAACAAAGTTTTACTTTTCCAGTCCCCCGCATTTGTTGACGACTGTACAAACCTGGAGACAGCAGTAAAGCGTTTACTGTGGGGAAAATTTAACAATGCCGGACAGATCTGTGTAGCCCCAGATTATGTACTCTGTACAAAGGTACTTTAAAGGGACTGTACGTGTAATATCAGGTGACCCGGTCCATGCAAAGATGACAATTCTCGAATTACAACTGTACCCTTAAAAGCTTTATCTAATCAAGTATGAATTAGATATCAATTGTTTTGTTTCTTTAAACTGTTTATTTTCATTTGCGGTTTCTCTGCAAAAGTGACTTGCGCATCTTGGTTTCAAGAAGCAAAGGAGAAAAACTAAAGAAATAAACACTTTTGGAATCAGACAACAGACAGTATTTTCCTGATTATTGATCAGATAAAGGTTTCAAGGCCCTAGGGTACCGTTGTACCAAACCCCTTGCCATTTTTGCATAAATTGTCATTTGAAATTGCTCTTACAGGTCCTTGTGATTAAAAATATGTTCTTTGAAAAATAGAAAATCTACAAAACTGTGAGTGGAAATTAAATCGTTCAAAATTCCATTCGGTTTTTTATTAAGTCAATTAGCTTTAGAAGTATCTCTTATGATGCATCATGCCTCACAAATCTTTAACGTTTGGTAAAAAGTTCCTGTTCTTTCATGGAAAAAATATGGTTATTTTATTTGGATTATTTAGAGCGTTGAGAAGAAAATAGTTCCATTGATGAAGAAGATCATAAAAGAATGGTATTCTGACCAGCCGGCTAGCTCAGGATGCTATTGTAGAATAGTATCCACTAGGTAAACAACGTTGACCAGCCAGCTAGCTAAAATTCTAAAAAAAAATTTGAATTTTTAAAAAACATTTTTTTTACCAAATGGTTAAAAATTATGATATATTTTCAGGCATGTTGAAAGGCTCCAAAATATGATAAACAAAACTACTGGAAACATCGTAATTGGCGGAACCATAGAAGCTTCAGAGAAGTACATAGAACCAACCGTTATTACTGGAGTAAACTTTGATGATTCCACAATGCAAGTAAGCTTAATATGCTGTATTTTGCTATGGTTAACGGAAGAGTCTGTTAACGACCGGCAAAAACGGTTAATTTGTAAATCGTTAACGAAACGGATTAGTCGTTTTTGAAAAAAAAATTATGGGTGAAAACGAAACGGATAGGTTTTTAAAAAGCGGCAACTTTCGTTGATTTTTTTAGATAGAATTGGATGAAACTTGAAAAAAAAATTATTTAATTGTATTTTGATGTTTTTAAATGTGATTTTTTTTCAATTTGGTGACGGCTTCTGCCTTATATCCAATTTGATAAACTGTTAACAAAATGGATAAATTGTTAGGGATGAGACAGTCAGAATTCGTGGCTAAGACTCAATTCCTTTGAACCACCGATGCGAAGTTAAAGAAAGGATTTGAATCGCCGATTAAATTTTGAACCGGCAGACAGTTTAAATTCTTAAAATTTGGGCCCAGAAAATTTTCTTTTTCCCAGGAGGAGATATTTGGTCCAATCCTGCCGATAATCAACATTGAGTCGGTCAACGAAGCAATTGAGTTGATTAACAGCCGAGATAAACCTCTAGGGATCTATACTCATAATTAAACTTTCCTCCAAACTACAGAGTGTCCCAATAAACATGGGAATTAAGTGACGAAGTCGATATTGTGTTAAAATTAGCATTGATAGTAATATCTGATTTCAAAAGTAATACTAAAATCCAAGGTGTTATGATATGCGTAGATATAAACTATAGTATGGAAATAGATTTCTAAAAAATCGGTCTATAACCAACAATTAAGCAGCCTAGTATTCAATAGTTTCATAAAACAGTTTAAAAGGGATAATTTACCTATTTCTAAATAAATATATTGCCCTTTTCGAGGAAGCGTTTATAGGTGGCATTTCAGATTTACAACGGAACTCTAACAACATTTAAATGAATACATTTGTAAATTTACTTTCTAGATTTTTTTGTATATAATTAAGTGCCTTTACAGAGAAAGATAACAGTCGAAAATTATTAATTTTTTAAAAAACTAAAATATTTTCAAACAATTTTTGTTCTTGAAATAGTAGTTAACTTTTACGTTTGAAATTTATGTCTGGTCGATCATATGACATTGATTTTTCCTAAAAATGATGTTAGCTACAAACTCTGATTTTATAATTCTTACATCTTTGCAGTCGTAGACCTGGGCTTTTTCAAAATATGAATTCTGTTAAATAAATTATTCTAAGTTTGAAATATCAAAGGGTTACACCATCAGGTTTCAATGATAAAGAAATTTTAAAAAGGCACAATTCCATAGGCGGGGCTAACAAGCTTAATTTTTGCCCTTGTCTAAAAATAATAGTAATATTTGCCACAAACTCTGATTTTCTAATTCCTACGTATTTGCAGCCCAATGTCGTAGACCTTAATATTTCAAACTATGAATTCTAAAAGATTAAATAATCTGAGTTTAAAATATCAAAGGTTTACACGATCAGGTTTCAATAGTAAAGGGATTAAAAATTTCAGTTTGTGGTAAAGAATCGGTTTCTTAGGTTATTGCCCTTGTCTAAATATGATATTATTGTTTACTACCAATGGACGTACAAATTTCTTTTAGAGAAATTTTGAGAAACTTTTTTCATCCTTCTCTTCTCAAATCAGACTTTCAACTTGATATAAAGATTTGTATAGCTCTGTATGTGTTTTCTGAAAATGAAAGTGTGATCAACCAAATCCGAGATCAAACATCAAGCGGAGGATTCACCGTCAATGATACAATTCTTCAACTCAGGTATAAAGGGTGAGAGTAAAGATAGGCAAGTTCAGCTTTTTTCATTTCGTTCATGAACGACCCATTTCGTTTTTTAAGTGTTTAAAATAAATTGATTTCGACTGTTCTCGACATTATCATTTATTTTCCATCTATTTTGTTTGTTTTCTTACAAAACGATCGCTCTTTCAATAAAATCGTTTTTAGAAAAATAAATCGGTAAAATCTATCTCAGATTGATCGAAAAAACCGTTTGGTAAGTATAAAAATGATCGTGTTTTACAAAATCTGCCAAAAAGTTCGTTCATTCAGTAAAAATATCTATCAATTTAAACCATTCGATTTTGAAAAACGATCGTTTTTTCATTTCTCTGAGCGATCCAAGTCGTTCTTCCGTCGTTCGTTTTTTTATCGACACCATCATTAAACAAAATTCGTTTGTTCAAAAAAAAACGATAATCCCATCTCTACTTCACATTTGCTTTTACCATTATTTGATATAACTTTATGAAACATAATTAAACGAAAAAGTTCAAAATAAACCTTTAGACTGGTTTATTACGTACCGGTTTCAGAGCCCGCGATTAAAAAAACTTTGACTTAAGCCCGACTTTAAGATCCGATCTTTGACCCGACTCTAACGACAGCTTGTGTCACGTGATTGATAGCTTCAATATCTTTGGCTCGACTTTAGGAGTTAGGGCCAAAAAAATAAAACTGACCTTGGTTGGTTTTAGTGGAGAATAAGGCTCAATGTTGAGTCTTGTTCTCATCAATAATTATCAATCTCAGCTTTCTTTGAAAGTGATTTTGCGGAAAGTGAAGGAAATTAACAAAATTGATCTTTTTTTGAACTTGAAAACTTGTTAAATGATGTCACTTAAAATAATGTTGACCGTCCCTTTAAGATCAAATTTCTATATAATGTATTTTTAAGTGTTGAAGAACTCCCATTTGGAGGTGTTGGATCAAGTGGAACTGGAGCTTATCATGGTAAACATGGGTTTGACACCTTTACACATTACAAGGTAGAAAAATGTAGTAAATGTATATGCGAAATTATTGCTTTGCTTATAATAAAAGAAAAGACGACAATAACTTAAGTTTTATATATTGTATATATTTGGTGGCCTGCCCCTTTCACTGCTTAAAATGTCAATCCGTATAGCACTTGAAAAAAAAAATATTTGACTACATCTGAAATTTTTCATGAACGGTATATTGTGTATTTTTCATACAAAAGAGATGTGTAACTTATTCAAAAACTCAAGTTTATTTTAACAAAAGATCCTTTTATCCAACAAATGATTAAATAACATTTGAAAAACAAATTAACATAAAAATTTTAGTTTAAGTATAGAACAAAATATTCACTATTGTGTTAAATAACTAAGGTTTTAAGTGAAGATTGTTGGACGCTCAAGCAACCAAAATAACCTATGACGTCAAATACAGTAGTCAGATACATTTCTATTTCAGCATCTTTCTAATAGATCGAGTGTCTTTCAGTAAAATTTTTTTTCTTCAAAATTTCTAATTCATTCTGAAAAAGTTTTAGATCGTTTTAGCACCAGATGCTGAATTTGCTTTAATCTATTAACATATTGGTTTAAACCTTCTCAAAAATAATCAAAAAGAAATACATGGAAAACACTCCATGGCTAAAAATAAACTCAAAGATACTTTTAAAAACTGTCATGTCATGAAAAATAATTATTTCATCTTTCATGCTTATTAGAATATTTTTGTTGTTTTTCTACTAATATTATTTTTCATTCTAAACAACAAAATATCTCAAACTTTCTCATAACATTCGGAGAAATTTATGGAAAAAATGTGTGCATCCCCGAACTAATATTTATTCCGTGTCTTTATGTATAAAGTAGTAATCTCTGTTTGTTTGTTAGATCATCACTCATGTTATACCCCTGGACCGATTTGCCCCGAATTTTGATTGGGGGAACTTGAGAGAACCACGGGAATGTTCTTTGATTTGTTTAAAAATTCTAAATTGAGTGGTTTGGCTTTTACGGGAAACCTCCAGTGAAAGCTGGGTACCCAAGCTAGTTAAAAATATTAAATATATTGAAGATCCTGTATTGTCATTATAGAAAATACATTAAACAGTGGAACATTCCCAACTATATTTCTAATGATCTTGAGAGAGCCGAGTTTTCTGCATTTCCCCAATTATTGGATATTCAGTATAACCTTAAATAGTTTCCTCTCTAGGGAAGATTAATAACCCTGCTCCCTGTTCTACTTATTTCCACCTCATTTACCACCAAATATAGACATTATTAGGGAGAACTAAGGCCGAATTTAAAAAATCTAAACCGCGTTGCTGATCCGCCAAAAACCAGTAAAAATTTAGCGTCGGCTCAAATCTCGAAACACTTAATACAATTTGTTTGAACCGTGTCTTATATTTGAGTCGCGACTCAAATTCTTTAAATTTGGCCTCTAAAAACACAGTTTAAGTTCTTAATCGTGGCTTCAATTGTGAATTTTAAAAACTAAAAAATTGCACATTTCCAGTTTTAATGCAAATTGAGATTTTAAAAATTTGCAAATATTTTTGCATATTTCAATTTGAAGAGGCAAGGGCTTTTTTTAAAATGAATCATTTATCCTATTTCGCACTTTTTGTTTGAGAAAATGTTTTGCTAGAAAACTTTATTTTGCAATAAAATTTGAAAATTTTGGAAATTTGCAATTTTCTTTGCAAAAAAGTGACAAATGTTAGAGATTTGTATCACTATTAGGACATAGAAAATATTTTCGGTAAATAAGACGTCAGACTGAATAGCCTTATTTTATAATAAGTATTCTTTGCAACCCAACGTTGAAGATCTTAATTATTTCAAACAATGAATTTTGTAAGATCAATAATCTAAGTTTGGCACAGAAAAAGTGTTACCATCTGGAAGCAAAAAAAATTATTTCCAAATTTAATTAAAGTTTTATTCAATTTTGCGGCAAAGGCTCAACTTATGAACAAATAACCTTCGCATCCTTTTTCACAAATAATGTTAAATATTTTAGCCAGTTCTTGAGAAAGACCTTGGCTGGATGATGGAGAAGGTTTCAGATTTCAGATATCCTCCATATGACCCTAAGCGAATTGGGTTTATCAGAAATCTTACCAAAAATAGGTAGAATTTAAGGGACACAATACAGGGGTCGGCGATTACATCACTACAATAAAGACGACTTTTTTCTTTAAATTTTGATTGTTATAACAAGCTTTTTTTTTAATTATAAGTTAACATAGTAATTAAAAAGAAGATTTTTCAACAGCTTCTCTTTGTTTCCATGTTCATGTGTATCTAAGCTCTTTAAAAGCTTAATATAAATCCAAATTGAAATTGAAAGTCGTCTTCATTGTACTGATATATGCGACGACGACTGTATGATAATAAATCTCGTCCGCTGAATATGCTGTTCTGCCGATAAATAAAGTCACCATGGATGTTGTTTTAATTTCAAATGCAGACACGCACAAGTATTGAGGGGTTTGGGCCTCAATAATTTGGAGGATAAATTTGTTCTCTAACTTGAAAAGTTTTTGATTATAAACATTTTGATAATTTATTTTTAAATGGAAAAACCACAGTCAAAAAAAAATAAATTTCAAAGCGTTAACCACTAATATTGGTTCAGAATCAGACATAGCTTTAAAATTTAAATTGAACATGCGACAAGAGATATCCAGGTTTTTTTCTTGTGAAAAACTAATTACTTTCAATTGTGGTTTTACTATAAAAATGACGATTTCTGCTACAGAAACTATGGAGAAAATTGTCAGAACTAAATACTTTAAAGCTAGAAAAACAAAGATATCTTCCGCAGTTTTGATCAGATAAAGGTTTAAAAGTTGCTGTTGTGAATCCAAAATGCACCAACTCAACATAAGGGTCACTTGAAATAACCACAACAGTCTCTTTACAACCTAAACCATAAAATATCACCTGACAAAGAAAGTCTAATTATTTTAAAGTTTAAAACTTTTTTTAAGAGAGTTGCCAAGCTTTGGATTCTTGAAATACTTGATGATGCTGTTACTTGGAGGAGTACTGGGATATGCTTCAGCCTGTCTTGCAAAGGAGTAATAACGTTAAAGCAGTTTTTTCACCGTTCTTCACAAGATTGTACAAATCTGCCAACAATCAGCGGAGTTAAAATGAGTAATAAATAATTTTCAATATAATTTTGTTCTTTCAATTACAAATCTTGTGAAAAATACCAATTAAGAAATCATCCAATCGTGGTCTTTCTGGTGAGATTAGTTTTTAGTGTTACTTGTTTTTTTGGGATAAAACAAAGTACTTGCGAATAAATGTCTTTTAGAGAAAAGACGATTTATAAGTCTTTGCTTATATCCCATGTTTCTTGGGACATATACTGTACCGAAGAGAAAAGAACTGTAGAGACAATGTATACAAATACTTAGCTATATTATAGCAGTGCAAAAGAAGAATTTCATTAACTGTAAATGTTAAAACATTAATTCTAGACAAATGGTTTAACATGTCTATAGCAATGCATGATTTAATTTTTTTCCCAAGAACTGTCAACTTTCCCTTAGCGGTGAAAACCGTTAATTTTTTATGCCTAGCCCAACTTGAACCAAAATACTAATGAAAGATTAAAAAACATATTTTAGTAAGGTTAGACATAAACATTAACGGCTTTACAGTTGTTGGAATGTTGCCCAGGCCTACCTACAACTAGAAATGGGCATCGTTTTCATGAACAAAAGAAATATTTGAAAACGAACAAGAAAAATTTACGAAAAAAGAAAACAATTGTTTGTTCAAAACGCACAAGAAAACAATAACGAACCGTTTAAAAATATTAATAATGGTTCGCATTTTATTGATCAGTCAAATCGGTAACAAACGATTTCTCAATCAGTTGATAGGACAAACTTTGAAAACCCGATTTTTAAACTGAACGAAAGATTTTTCGAACGCACTTTTGACTTAACGATCGTTTTTTTACTGAATAAACGATTTTGGAGAAATAGAAAACAATTTTTGTTCAATACTAACAAGATAAACAAAAAGGAAACGATGGCTAGATCTATTGATCAGTCAGATCGTTAGCAAACGATATCTAAACGAACAATTTTTTTAAGCGAACTTATAAAACTATAGTTGTTTTAATGAATAAACGATTCTATTCTTTTTTATTGAACGAACAATTTTTTCAAAAAAAAAATACAAAAAAAATAATTTTTTACTGAACGAACGATTTTACTGAACAAACGATCTCATGGAACAAACTATTTAATTAAAAGACCTTTTTTTAGAACACGAACGAAATATATGGAAAATTAAAAATATTTATGAAAACTACCGAATTCAAATTTTATTGAAAATTCTTTTACCTTATGAATATCCACATTGGAATTACAAATATAAAAATAATAATCATTAATTTACAGCTTATTGTGCATAGAAGAACATAACCTTGCCGGAAGGATAATTTCAGCAATCTGTTTATCCTTGAATTCATTCAAAATTGTTAACCATGGGCAAAAGCGTGCTCAGGGGGGGGGGGCTATTGGGGCTAAGCCCTCCCCTGGACCAGTGAAATCTAAGAATTGCAGGGTGATTAAAGAATATCAATCTTTTCAAATTGTGTTAAGCAAAGCCACCGTCGATTAGTCATGCTATTGTTACCAGTATGATGATCAAGTATTACTGCAACAAAGTTTGACTTCAGAAATCCACGTTATTGTAAATAAGAATATGCAAATTCAGTTTTCTTCTATCCATTACTATAGAACATTTTCATTTATGTAAAATAATTTTTTCTGAAAACCGGAAACGGACCCCAAAAAAGCGGAAACGGACCCAAATAAAAGGGAAACCGATCAACAAACTGAGAATTTAAAACTTTTTCTGAAAACCGGAAACGGACCCCAAAAAAGCGGAAACGGACCCAAATAAAAGGGAAACCGATCAACAAACTGAGAATTTAAAACTTTTTCTTGAAACCAGAAACAGGCCCAAAAAAAAGGAAACCGATCAACAAACTGAGAATTTAAAACTTTTTCTGAAAACCAGAAAAGGACCCAAAAAATGAGGAAACGGACCCTAAAAAAGGGGAGACCGATCAATAAACTGAGAATTTAAGAATTTTCTGAAAACCGGGAACAAACCCAAAAATGAGGAAACGGATCGAAGATATTGGGAAATCCCTCAAAAATATAAGACCCGTATAAACCGGAATCCAAACTAAAAATCGAAGAAATGAATAAAAAAGGGAAATTCCTCTTAAAAATAAATTTCAGGGATTTCCGATAATTTTTGAAAAAATAGGAAACACCTCAAAAAATTCATTATGGTGAGGTTTCCGTTTTTTTGGGTCAGATTCCTTGTTGAGGCGTTTCCATAGCACCCTGGTAATACTGGTTTCATGGAGTAGAATATCTGAGTATAAATAGTTTCATGGAGCAATATCTAGTTACTACTTGTTTCAATGGAGCATAAATCCCCTGAAAATCATTGTTTTTACTTCTAGTTCTAGAGGGAGAGGGTGGAGGGCTAAGCGTTCCTCCCCCCCCCCTTTATATGCCCCACTGCCCTCTGCTAACTAAAAAGTAATAATAAATATTAACCCATTTGTGACGAGTCGGTCAATTTTGAATGGGTAAGGTTTTTATTTTAGAGCGCCTTCATTTTTAAACCAAATGTCGTCATGTTTCATTCCCGCCCTTCCTACAGATATGCCAAGTATCGCCTATAGGTTGCAGGCATGTTACAGGTTGATAGGGTGCCAGAGCAACCAAAACAACAGCGGGAGATTTAAATTCAGGAACCGCCGGATCCAACAGATATAAATCAGCGAAAATGGTTTTCAAACATTTTTTATTTCTATTTGATGTTAGTTATATGCTAATGTTATGTTCAGTAGGGGGTAGAATTAAAAAAATTCATCACAGAACTACGTCGATAGTCAATTCTTAAGTAATATACACTTTTAAAAACAATTTCTTTTATGACACTTTTTAATTGGAGGTCGTCTTCGTTAGCTAACTGGCACTGCAAGTTTTGACCTCTTTGGAGATCTGTGATTTTGCAATACACAAATAAATGCTTCCAATTATTACAGCAAGAATTTATTTCTATGTAAGAAACAGTTCTAAGAACAAATTATTTTATGTCAGTTTTTGATTGGAGGTCGTCTTCATTAGCTAAAGGGCACTGCAAGTTTTGACCTATATAAACTCTTTTTCTGAAATTTGTTATTTCGCAATAAGCATGCAATATGCTTTAAATTATTACGGCGATAGATAATTCTTATGTAAAAAGCCACTTTAAAAACAATTTCTTTTATGACACTTTTTCATTGGAGGTCGTCTTTGTTAGCTAACTGGCACTCCAATTGTTTACCTAAATGTACTCTTTTTTGAGATGGGTGATTTCGCATTAAGCATGCAATAAGCTTCCAACTATTACAGCGATAAGCATTTCTTATGTTAAAAACAATTCTAAGAACAATTTCTTTTATAAGACTTTTTGATCGGAGGTCGTCTTCTTATGCTAAATGGGATAGAGATCTAGAAAAGAGTACATTTAGGTCAAAAATATCAGTGCCAGTTAGCTTAAGAAGACGACCACCAATCAAAAAGTATCATAAAAGAAATTGTTCTTAGAATAGATTTTTACAATAGAAATAACTATAGCCATGAATATTGCATGCATATTGCGAAATAACAGATTTCAGAAAAAAGGTATATATATAGGTCAAAACTTGCAGTGCCTGTTAGCTAATGAAGACGACCTCTAATCAAAAACTGTCATAAAAGAATTTGTTCTTAGAATTGTTTTTTTGCATAGAAATGGACTATCGCTATAATGATTGGAAATATATTACTTGTGTCACCGATCTCAGAAAAAGACATAAAGGTCAAAACTTGCAGTGCCCTAAGGAAGACGACCTCTTATCAAAAAGTGTCATAAAAGAAATTGTCCTTAGAATTGTTTTTTACATAAATAATTGACTATTGCCGTATATACTGATTTCAAGCAAATTCTTTTATTTTTGGAAATTCACTCCCCACTAATTGTTCAATGTAAAAAGTTTACTGCTCTTTTTTGCTTTTTTTTCTGCCCGGTCAAAATTGATCTGGTCAGAGAACCCGGTCGAAATGCCGGTTTTTATGCAAACATTGTACAGCATACACCCCACCCCCTGTATAGTATATACAACACCCCTCAAGGTTAATTTTTTTTACCAATGAATGGTTCGGAAATATATCCAGTCCTGAAATATCAAGAAATACATAAATATATTTAGTAGAAATACAGGACCCAGTAAATTTTGTCCTGCTCGTCCTGCTCGGCATCGATTAAAATTGACTCCTCTCTCCCTACTGCAGACAGTCAATTTAACAGATGCTGAACGGGTTTTGTATATCTAATACCCTTCATTGAAAAAAATGAAACTTTAGATCTACGATATGGACAATGAGTCAAGCCTGTGAATTTCAGCAAGATCAGAAAGAATTATTTAGGTCTTGTCACAATTAAGTTAAATAATAATAAAAAAAATAAAATTCGAAGAATAATAAAAATAAACATTACATTCTAAAGCGCGGCAAGATTCCTCGGGGTGATTTGGCTTTCTTTTTAAGCGGCTAAAACAACATTAATTACTATTTCAATGATAAACAAATAAAAAAAAGTTAGTACATTAACTCCCGATACATATTTTAAAATAGTGTCATATTCATTTTAAATAACAAAATGTTTTCAACAATTTTTTTAACACGAAATTCCATATAAGTAGTATGAGTATTTTGTTCTGAAGAAATGACAGCTTCAAGCTGCTGTAACACGTCAGCTTTACAGCTTATGCTGACAGCTGTACACAACAGTACACTGTTACCTATGACCGTCAAATATTAAAGCCGTATTCTTGTGCTGATGTGGATGTGGAAGGATTACTTACAACTTAAAAATTTCACCGGCAGTATTTTTTTCTTTTTAATTTGTTTTGGTTTCTAATTTTGTTGTTTCAATAATCGATATATTTTTCCCCCGTTTGTAATATTGCGGTTGTTTTTTTCTGATTATTACAGTAAACTTGTTACTGTAGATAATTGACACAAGATACAATAGCAGTCCTGTAGAACAATTTTTGGACTCCCCGCCCCCCGGCCCCCCTCCTATGTCTTACAATTAAGATCCATGTACAAAATTGATAGGAGAGGGGGGGGGGGGGTTCATAAATTGTTCTTTAGGAAATTACCCAATTTTGTACGTGATCACTTACATTTCAGCAAAATTATTATATATTTTGTAGTTTTTAGGGTTAGTTTAGGTTTAAACAATTTATGGGCCGAGCGAAGCGGCTAGGACATGCTAGGGGGCTGGGTGCTGCGGATTCATGGTAAAGTATTTCCATGTCTTCCACATAAGATTCATTTATAAAATTGATAGGAGGGGGAGGGGGGTTATAAATCGTTCTCTAACAATGATTCTGACGCAGCTGGGTCGTTTGAGTTTCCATAAATTTGACTCCAATCAAAGCAACTATTTTGACGGTTATTGCATGTAAACAGACAGACAAACAAACCAAATTTATATTTAAATTTATTTCAGATTCACGATGTTGGAATCTCTATTTGACGATGTTAAACGGATGGACAAACGGCAATTCGTTTATCAGGTTAAACAATATCAGTTTTTCCAGTTTATATAACCGGGAAATATATTCCCCCCCCCCCCTGGTGAAATTAAGAGCACAAGAAAAAAGAGCATGGCCTAGAAGAGCCCTTTAATATGATTTAAAGAATAGATTCAAAATTTTTCCTGATAAAAATCGAAATCTTGCTAACGCAGTTTACACCTTTCAACCCCCCCACCCTCTCTCTTTTGTATGGAAGGTTATTTATTCTTATTATTTAAGCCACTGCATTTGAACCTGTTTGTCTCGAGTTTAATGACTCTTATAGAAAATGAAAAATTACGTTTTCATGAAATTTTCTCAAAATATTTCCCCCAAAAGGGTGAAAACTGTTGACACCACGTTCTACTTTAGTTTTCTTTCAAGGAAAAACATTTCTTGGAAATATCAATAACAGTTTTAACACAAAGTTTAATGTTAGTTAGGTTTTGAATTGTATAAATCAAAGATTTTTTTTTACTTTTTACAAGACTTAGCGATTTTAGCTAAAGACAGCAACAAAGTTATTATTTTTTAAGTCCTTTTTCCATGTAGGTCCTGAGTTTTGGCATGATAGTCTCATCAGCCCTAATGATTTGGAAAGGTAACTTCTTATTCATAGTTTTACGAACTAAATCTCGATTTTTAGTAAAACTGAGTCATGAAACATATTTTTCGAATTAGAAATACATCAAAGCCAATCATGTCACGCAAATATGTCCATAAAGCCGGCCAGATTTATTTAGATTTGTTAGAAAAAAAACAGGGTTTCTTCTACATAAACGTTAAATTTTATGATTTAAAAAATGACGATGTAAAAATGTAAACAAAATCCGCGTAATCTACAAATAAAATAGAATTTCTGGCAAAAGCTACATGATATATCGAGAAACAATATTGACTGATTTGGCACTTCTGGAAATTCATTCGTTTGTGTTCTTTTATATATAATTGGTGTACGATGATGCATGCACAGCGCAGCCTGGGGTTCCACTTAGGTTCCCTTTCAGATTGGATCAGATCGGGTCGGATTGGATTGGATCGGATTGGATCGGATCAGCTCGGCTCGGCTCGGCTCGGCTCGGATTGGCTCGGATGATATTCAAATTAGTTAATAAGATATTTAAGTTTAATTATTTATTTACAGATATTTTCAACAGTTAAATATTGGATATCATTTGCTGTGGTTTATTTGGATGCGATATATTTTCATTTTGATCCGAATCCGCGAAATCTCATGTTTTTGCGAATTCTTATTATAGTGTGTTGTCAGGCTTAATGGTTGTCACTGGATCCGAATCTCCGATTGTTGTTGTACTGTCTGGTTCTATGGAACCTGCTTTCAAGGTAAACAAACAAAGAACTAAACAAAACAAGATTCTAACAATTATATAGAGAAGATGAAAATGAAATCTACCTTTTTCTATTGGGTGAATGTTATTTAAGTTTTCTTGATATTTCAAGTCTAAGATTTTATTGATAGAACGCTCAAGATTTATAATGTAAAATATATTGTTTGCTTACTTTTCTAAGCTTTCAAATATCAATTTTATTTCGAATTTTAAACAGAATTTAATAGGAGATTTTTATCAGCAGAACAAATGTTTTAATTTTTAACGCATGCTATGTAGTATGTTTGCAAAAGAATCGAAGAAAGCAAAGACGACTGTACAAAGAAAAGAATAAGAAGATTTAAAGAGTAAAAGATATAATCAAACATAAAGGATGTCAAAAAACGGCGCGAATTAAAAAGATGCTTAATAATGCCCGTTTTTCATAGACGATAAATCTTTTTTTACTTTTTTTTTTAACATTACAAATAATTCTATAATTTTTATTTCTATAAGTTGTTAGTAGAAAAAAACTAACAATCCACCACCAATTTATATTAAATATAAAGTAAACAATAAATATGTAACTTTCCTGATCCTGTCCTTTCCTTTTATTTCTATTTTTATATTTTTTTAGAATTGGGGGGAAATATTCCCACAACCTCTACTAAGAGGTTTTTAAATATTTTCTCCTGAAACACTTATTTTTGGACGTTTTTGTTTTATTTCATAAATAAATCATTTTTTACATTTTACATTTACATTCCCTTATAATTTTCTTGATGAAGCATTCAAAGATTTTTACCCCTTGGATCCGGATCTAGGAAGCCAAAATGTTACGGAACGGATCCGGATCTAGATCCTAAGCACTGATTCAAATTTAAACATTGAACTATTGTTCCACCCCCTAAAAAATTAGTCAAGCGAAAAAAGTACAATAAACAATATTTCACGAGGAATTTTTGTGCAGGGTTGGTTTGCATTTTAAGGATATTCTTCTTTTGTTTTGAAATTATGAATCAAATCTTTGAGCCGAACAAAATTCTTAAATGAACTCAGTTTAGGGGGCTGTACGAATAAATAGTGGTTTGTTTAGAAAAAAACGCATCCGAAACATGAAATTTAATCCATTTATTTCATGATAGGGAAAAAGCGGAAAATAACAAACAGACAGACCCAGGATATATATAAATTAATCTGTGTTAAAAAGAATAGAGCCACCTTCCCCCCCTCAAACTGTCCTCTTTGCCTGGCAAATGCCCCCAACCCTGTCATGTCGAAACTGTAGACATTGTTTCGACGTTACCCTAATTAGATTGTTTGTCAACAGACAGCAAAACCAGTTTTAGTCCCCGAAATCATGTTCATTGTGTATTCCGGAATTCTTTTTCGTACATTAAATAAATTCTTTTATGGCCAACCTTTGGATCAGACAAAGATTTCAAGAGTACCGTTGTGTATCGGACATTGCCAACTTTGCATGGATGATCACTTGAAATTACACTGGCAGCTCGTTTAAATTAAACAAAAAAATATAAACCGTGAAAAAAAATTAAATTTGTTTGTAGAGAGGAGATCTCCTTTTCCTCACAAACTTCGAAGAAGAGGATATTAGAGTTGGAGAAATTGTCGTCTTCAAGATAGATGGTCGAGATATTCCTATAGTGCACAGGTAGAAGAACTTAACATCAAATACCATAGATAAAGATATATTGCTTGTAAGACAACATTTCTCAACTTTCCAGATATGTTTAAAATATTTTCCAAACTTTTAGATTACCTGAGTTGGTTGTGAACATTTGCTGTTCTTATGTCATTAACTACATGCGGTGAACTTGAGTGCTGTAGAGAGAAATTTTAGTTTAGTTTAGTCCTGATGAAATATTGCTCCTGAAAAAATTGTTCTTAAAATAATTCCATTCCTCGAGTTAATTTAATAAGAAATATCATTCATCTAAGGGTGGATTCTCATTTGAACTACTGCCGTTTGAACTATGGTACATTTGAACTATTGTTCGTTTGAACTATTGTTCATTTGAACTACTGACATGACTTCATATCCTGTAGTTTAAATCAACACATTTCTTGCTCTTTTGAACTATTTTTCTACCCGAATTCAGTTTTAAAATTTTGTTATAATTCCCATAAAGTTATAGTTCATGACAATTAATTAGATAACCGCATTACACAGAAATGTTTCAAATAAAAATAAAAATAGTTTAAATTAACAAAAAAATCGTTCAAATGAACATAAAAATAGTTCAAGTGAACATAAAAATAGTTCAAATGAACATATAAATAGTTCAAATGAAATAGTTCCAATGAACATAAAAATAGTTCAAATTAAATAGTTCAAATGAAAAAAAAATTGAAATGAACTAAAATAAAAAATAGTTCAAATGAAAAAAAATAGTTCAAATGAAAAAAGAATAGTTCAAATGAATTTTAAAATAGTTCAAATGAAAAAATAGTTCAAATGAACATAAAAATAGTTCAAATGAACATGAAAATAGTTCAAATGAAATAGTTCAAATGAAAAAAATGGTTCAAATGAACATAAAAATAGTTCAAATGAAATAGTTCAAATGAAAAAAAATGAAATGAACTAAAATATAGTTTTAAATGAAAAAAAAATAGTTCAAATGATTAATAGTTCAAATGAAAAAAAAATTGAAATGAATTAAAATATAATTTTAAATGAAAAAAATAGTTCAAATGAAAAATAAACAAACAAAAATTTCAAATAAAATTGTTAATAACATTTTTAAGTTCATTTGAACTATTTTTTTGTGCATTTAAACTATTTTTGTGTTCATTTTAACTATTTTTTTGTTCATTTGAACTGTTTTTATGTCCATTTGAACTATTTTAATGTTCATTTGAACTATTTTTTGTTTATTTCATTTAAAATATTAATAGTTCAAATGAAAATAGTTCAAATGAAATGAAAAATAGTTCAAATGAGCAATATATTTACTCGTTTGAACTATTGTTCATTTCAACTACTCACGTGGTACCACGTGCAGTAGTTGAAATGAACAATAGTTTAAATGAACAATAGTTCAAACGGGAGTAGTTCAAATGAGATAGAAATAAAGGTACTTTTTATTTAACATGCTTGATAGATTTTAGACAGATTTAATGGCTTTCAATTAACACATTTTTATTTTTTTATGATATTTTTTTCTTTTTGTCTTTATTCTAACTATCCATTAATGTATCTTTGAATATTGCGAATACATTTGCTAGAAAAATCATTAACCAGATTTTTGCTCTTTTTTCTTAAAATATGCTCCATTGTTTTTTTACAGTTCTTGACAAAGGGTGACAACAACTCTGTTGATGACAGAGGTCTGTACGCTCCTGGACAACTCTGGTTAGACAGGTTAGTTCAACATTTATCTTGTCAACCGTCAACGTGCCAACCGTAAATATGTCAACGTGTCAACCTGTCAATTTGTCAATATGTAAACTTAGTCATTTAGTCATGTCAAACTGTCAACCTGTTAACGTGTCAACCTGTCAACGTGCAGATTTCAATCTTTGAATCTGTCAATGTGTCAACCTGCCAACCTGTCAACCTGTCAATATGTCAATATGTCCATCTGTCAATCTGTCAATCTGTCAACAAGTCAACCTGTCAATATGTATTCATGTCAACTCGTCAACATGTAGTCCTTTAAACCTGTTAATATATGAACCTATTAATATGTCATCCCGTCAACAAGTAGTCCTGTCATCCTAGTAATTAGTTAACTTGTCTTTCTTGAAGTTATCGATCATCCAACATATCGTCTTGTCAATCCATCAATCTGTTATTCAGTCAACCTATCAACTTGTCACCTTGTCTATCTGGAAGTTATTAACCTGCCAACATATCGTCTGTCAATCAATCAATCTGTCAACCTGTTAACCTGTTAACCTATCATCTATTCAACTTGTCTATCTTGAAGTAATCAACCTTCCAACATATCGTCCGGTCAATCCATCAATCTGTCAACCTGTCAACTTGTTATTTTGTTAACCTATTAGTCAACATGTCTTGTCTGATTGTGTGGGACCTGAAAAGTGAGTTTTATTGATCGAATAATGATTGATTGATTGATTAGGAAGGACGTGGTCGGCCGAGCCCGAGGATTCCTTCCCTACGTTGGAATTGTTACCATCGTTATGAACGATTATCCTAGATTCAAGTAAGTTAGAAATCCCACGGGGGTGGGGGGGGCTTTTGGCCATTTGCGTTTAACTTTATTGTTGTTGGGAGGATCAAATTTTTAAAAAGTCTAATGGCGGCCGATTGAACTTCTCATTTTAGATCGTTTTTGGTCAGAAAAATAAATATTTGTAAGCAACAAAGATCGCCCAATATCTTAAAAAAGTGGATAAAAGTTTATACTTCAAGTAATATGAGGGAAAATATAAATTTTGGGACAGGCTCTCCCCCTTTTTTTAAATGAATATTTGATCAAAACCGACCTCTTTGAACCAAACAAAACCATACAATCCAACCAATAAAAACTGTGGAATAGGAAGACGATCGTTGGATTCAAGTATAACTGGAGAAATAGAATACGATCTCAATTGAGTGGATGTTCCTGCTACCAGTAAAACTATTTGTATTATAAAAATCGATACAAATATGATTGTTTAATATCGTCCCAACATTTCACAGTTTCTTTATGGAAAGTGATCAATGTCCTGAAAGGTCTTGTATGAACCCGGCACTATTTGGACACATTTTTTGCAAAGTTCTTTTTTGTTAAGCTTATTAAGAAAATAAAATTAAATAACATCTTAATTCTGGTGAAACCAGACCAAAGTGTTAATATTGTGACTCATGACGTAATTTGAAGGTACCCTCATCACATATAGAACTATATGTCTGATTCACAAGGTACCTTCTAAATATTTGTCGAGCAAAAGTCGCAAAAATATGCTTGTTTTTCACTTTTAAATTAAGAATTTTCTACTGCGGATTTTTCCATCTGAGTGACTTACGGATTTATCACCCTTATTGCTAATTGTTTAAAGGGTACCACTGTGAATCGGACAAGTCATTTTTTATTGGAGGGTTACGTGAAATTCCGACTATAGTCCCTTTAAAAAGTTAATTTCTAGGTATGCTGTGCTGGCCTGTCTTGGCTTCTATGTTCTGATACATAGAGAATAAAAAGGGACCTGATGATATACTTCCTTGAGAACTTCCTTCCTTCTATATCCTCTACATGTTGACAAATTTTGGGGACTTGGGTCTACTCCTCTGTTTTCATATTGAATCAAGGAGAAGTTTGACATTATCCAGTGTTTTGGAGAGGGTTTGTGTTACTTGCAATCAACTTTTTTACATATAGTTTTTTGTTATTAAAATTATGTTATTTTTTACTTGCCTAAACTTGTTTTAGTTCTATCTTTTTTTTACAACTTATGGTAAACTCATAGTGCACAACTTTTTTTACTTATCAGTAGGGTCTTTTATCAAAAAGTTTGCATTGTAAAAAAATCACTAATTGAATGAATGCTCTATGAGTATGGAGTATTAATTATAATAAATTGTTTTCTGTGATTCATATCAACGGCTGAACACTGGAATATAACACTTGGCTTTTGAATTATGGATTGAATCAATGTTTGGAGAAAGCTAGAAAAGGGAAGATTTTATTTTTTAAAGTTTAATTGGAATACAAATCAAATTCTTCATCTTTGAATCGAAGGTGTGTGAACAATATCATTGTATTGCATTTTTACTTTTTTTTCTTCTTCAAATTTAGCTGTACATACTGTAAAATGTACAGTGTACATCACACAGTACACGTCGTTGGGCATGTGTAAAAGGAATTCTTGCAGTTTTCGCAAAAATTGATATCTTGTTGTTGCATTTTTTGCTGTGGGTTAAATTCTTTTTAACTTTAACATTCTTCACGTCATGGTAGTTAAATGTTTGAGTTTATAAAAATAGTCTTGCGCATTTTCATCTCCTAGCTCTGCGAATTCACAATTATAGTTTGGCGCATTTTCCAGATCAAGATGAAGGTGAAGGAGGTAGATAGAACAGCGAATATAGCCTGGTCCCCAGCTCCCCAGGTAAAAAAAGATAATAAAAGGGTTAGTCAAACGTTTTATCTTTTTTGCCAAATGTTTTACCCGCATTTTTTTTATTTGAAATACGATTTTGGGCAATATTTTGTTGTATTTAATTTCAAGTTTACCCATAGCATAATTTATTTTCTAATTATAAGATAATTTGTTTAATCTTGAAATTGCAAAAATATTCACAAAATTCAGTTGGAAACACGGTGACATTCGGTTACTCAGCATGTGACTGATACTTAAGAACCATAAGTTCCACACGTTTTACGTGACTTTAGTATCCATTTAGTATCCATTTTAGTATCCGTTTACGTGACTTTAGTATCCATTTCAACGCGGCTTCAATGAAATCAATGAAATAAGATAATAATATTGTTGTTGTAGGTTCCGATCTATCTGGCTGCAGGAACAGCAGCTCAGCAGTTAGATGCAACCTTTAGCACCAGTAGCAACCTAGAGATTTATTCATTGAACCTTGCAGAAACAGGACATGATCTACCATGTGTTGCTAGGTGAGTCTCTCTCTCACCCGTCTTTGAGATTTATTCATTAAACCTTGCAGAAACAGGACATGATCTACCATGTGTTGCTAGGTGAGTCTCTCTCTCACCCGTCTTTGAGATTTATTCATTGAACCTAGTAGAAACAGGACATAATCTACCATGTGTTGCTAGGTGAGTATCTCTCACACCCGTCTTTGAGATTTATTCATTGAACCTTGTAGAAACAGGTCATGATCTACCATGTGTTGCTAGGTGGGTCTCTCTCTCACCCGTCTTTGAGATTTATTCATTAAACCTTGTAGAAACAGGTCATGATCTACCATGTGCCTCTTTATATTTTTAATGACCGATTGATTCATCGATTGATTTAATGATTGGTTCATTTATTTGGTTAATTATTGATTGATTTATTTGTTGATTCATAGATTTGTAGATTCGTTGTTTCATTGATTGATGATTAATTGATTGATTGATTTATAGTTTACCTGTGGACCAGAGGTTTCATAAACTGGTTTGGGGCTCCTCTGGTATGCAGGACGATAAGGTAAGCAACCCAGTTTTGCTTTTTATACTAGTTGACGCCTCATATTGAAAGCACAAAAATGGCAGACCCCATTTTGGAAATGGCAGGACAAGGGAAATTTTGTGATTATTATCTCTAGAAATTTACTTCTAAAATTAGGTTGACAAATAAACGCAGCAAATTATATCAAAAATCAAGACGACATTCAAGTCGTTCTGCATACTGTCATGTTTCGTGGGACACCCTGTATTATCCTTGATTGGATCCTGTAACTTGTGTACACTTTTAAATGTCATAGTGGTAGGTTACATATAGAAGACTCGAAGATTGCAAAAAAAAACGTAATAGCTTTTTTACACAAAATTACAACGGATTCGTGATAATCTAGATATAAAACTAGACACATACAACTAGTATGATAAGATTTGGGGGCGTCTCAAGCGCGCCCAAGTATTTGTATCGTCTCTGATTCGTGTTTAAAATACCAATTTTAAAAGTTTTCACGAAAATTACTTGATATCTGTCGGATTTTAGAACTTCAACTCAATATTACAAAGACTCTGAAACTTCAGCGACCGAGCCTTGACATAAATTAAAAATGTTTATGATGTAAACTCAATATTGCTGACCCATCCCCCCCCCTTCTTATACATTGTGCCTCCCCTCCCTGCTTTCTTTCTTGTTCATTTTGTTCTAACAAAATGTCTTTGATATGGTTTTTTAGTGCAAATATTATAAAAGCTTTTTGAATTTTATGTGGCATTACTATATAATGTTTGCAACTATTTTTAATATTGTGAGACCTATAAAACTGTAGAACAGATAAACGACATTTAAGCAATCTCATTTGTAATTAGTGCTGTTGTTAATACAATTGATTTCAAACAGCGCAAGTGATGTGTTTCTTGTTAATGCGAATTTTTAAATTGAGTTAACAGTCGTCTCACTGTTCCACAGTTTTTATGGGTCTCACTCTAGTTTTAACCAATCTGTCTCCGACTAGATGCCGAATGGATTACTGGTTGGTGGTTCCGACCGCGGAGTTATCAGTATGTACGATGTTCATAAACTTATAAAGGGAGAGAAAAGTTTAGGTAAAAAAAGAAAATTCAAATTATTGAAAAATCAAGAAAAAAACATTTTTGTTTTGTTTAGTGTTTAGCGAGGATAAGCATACAGGACCCGTGGCGGCCTTGGACTTTAATCCTTTCCAGCAGAATCTACTGGCATCAGGTACAGTGCATTCTGTTGGGTGGTTTTTGGATCTTTATTTGGTCTACACTTTCTTCCAGAGTCAAATGTAGTTTAATAATAGCAAATGTTTTAAAAAAAATGTATTCTAAATATGAATATTTTTTGAAGATAATATTCTACCCTGTATTTTTGTTCAACTAATTCAAAAATGTTACGCTGAAATTAAAATGAGTAAACTGTAATTAATTTCTAAATCCATTCTACCTAATCAAACTTTTATAGAATCAATTTTATTATTTTAAATTGAAGTAAATTTAATTTTTCAAAATCTAAAATATTTAAGTTTTTAATTTAAAAAAAGCTGGTCCTTTGTTAATTCGAATGAAAATAATAATTTGAATTTTAATTAAAAGAACAAAAAAATAAAACTGAATTGTAGATTTATGGTTAAGTTTTTGTTTAAATTCAGTTTAATTCAAGTCGATCTCAGAATCCAATTATATTTTATTGAAGTATTCAAAGCTTTTGTTGATTTTTTAAAAGAGTTTTTGTCTTTTAAAAAGACTAGCCCCTTTCAAACTAAAAATGATTGATAGATATTTCACTTTGAACATGAAAATTAAAACTGCATTATTTTTCCAATACAATTTTTCTCAAGAGCTGATTAAAAGTTAAACTCATAGTGCAGTACGGTTAAATGTTATGGACTCCTTGAGAACTTGATTGTACGCAAGAAACCGCCCCTTCCAATAATACTTCATATTTTTTTAAATATCTTAAATTACTGCAATATCTGCACTCAGCTACAGTCCTTTTTAAAATTGAGGAATATTTCTTTTTTAATTTAAGGAGCAGTCCCTTTAAAAATATAAATGAATGCTTTTACCCGTATTGTTGTGTCTAGGTGGATCTGAGTCTGAGATCTATATCTGGGATGTAAATAAATCCCAAGCTCCGATGACTCCTGGACCTAAATCCCAACCCCTGGATGATGTGAGATGTATTGCGTGGAACAGACAAGAAGCTAATATCCCCCCTCCCTTTCAAAGTCATCGTCAACTGTTCATATTCACTGTTCTCTGTTAAAATTAACTGCTCAATGTTCAAATTCACTGTCAACTGTTCAAATTCACTGTATAATATTCTAATTCACTGTTCACTTCAAATTTACTAGTCATTGTTTAAATTCATTGCTCACTGGTCAAATTCATTGTTCACTATTCAAATTCACTGTTTACCTGTTTAAATTCAATCTTCCCTGTTTAAATTCACTCTTCCCTGTTCATTGTTTAAGTTTAATTCACAGTTCACTCATCACTGTTCAAATTCTTTGTTTAATGTTAAAACTTAATATTGACTGTTCAGGTGTCTAGTTTGGGATTTACGTAAGAATGATCCGATCATTAAAGTCTCGGATTCAACTTCAAGGATGAGATGCAAGGTTGGCAAACTTTATTAAAACTAAGGGGAATGTAGACACATTTAAAAGTGACCCCAAAATCAAGTTGTTATTACAGCTTTACATTTTAAAGATTTATCAGAACAACACAAAAAGTGTCGAGTTTTGTCAATATTTGCAATCAGAAAAATAAGTCTACAAATAACTTTTTTTTAAATAAAAATTAAAACTAATAAAATTTTGGCCAGAAAAACTAAGAAATCTCATGCAACCTTTAAAGGGCACTGATGTGAATCGGAATAAAGGCATGGTCACTTGAAATTACGTCTTTAGTCTCTTTAAGCATATTTTTCTCCATTTGACGCTCTTGGGTTTTTCAAAAGATGTGTTGAGGGGTAATTATTGGATTTTTTAAATGGTGAGAAAAAAGATTCTTTTTGATTACTATTTTAATGTATTCGCACACTGAATTGTAACTATTGTGATAAACTTACGAGTTTGAAAAGGGGTGAATAGTATTAAAGCATGGATATACATTTTTTTATTATTTCCCTCAAGTTTGGACCCTTCCTCTATTATATGAAAAATTAATTAAAATATAATAACTAGAAAATTCATTATGCTCTGTTCTTATCTGGCTTCTTCCTAACTTTATATAAAAATAATCTGATGAAAAAATATTAGTTTTGAATAGTAATTTGAAACTATATTTGGATATTTTGTCGTTTATGAAACCCTATCTTAACTAGATTAATTTAATTAAATAAAGAGGTAGTTTCCGCGTCATTTTAAGTAACCCCTATTTATAGAGTTGCAAATACGTAAACCCGTTATAGTTAAAACATTATAATAAGTAACAATTAGCAAGATATCTTCGTTTTACTATTTTAAAAATAACTCAGTTTGTTTATTGGCATCTTTGTTTCTACTATAAAACTCCGCAAGTTACTTTCATTAAGAAACTGCAAAAGAAAAGTTTTAGAACACTTCACAAAAATGTTTTATTAAATGTTTGTTCTGACAAATGTGGGTACCATTGTGCATTGATCAATGGAATATAACTTTTTTATTTAGTGATCACTTGAAATTACTTAGACAGTCCTATTTGATATATAATGTTGCTTTTAGCTGTGAATCCTTATTTGCGGTTTTAAGAAGCAATAGAGAAATTTTCCAAAATAAATACTTTTCTGGTCGGAAAAAGAAAGTTTGCCCCCACATTTTTTACCAGATTAAGGTTTCAATGGTACCGTTTTAAATCGGTCATTATCAGCTTTTCATGGAGGATTACTTGAAATTACGCCTACGGCCCCTTTAATGACCACTAGAAATTACGTCGACAGTCCCTTTAATTAAAAATATTAAGGTTGTTGCCTGGCATCCTGATGTAGCAACCCAGCTCTGTTTGGCCTCAGAGGATGACCATACCCCCGTCATACAGATTTGGGACCTAAGGTGGATTTGTGTCTCACTATTTACATCAAAAGTAATCTTTTCCATGGTCTTGATTATTTTTTGTATTTACAAGGCTCCGCTGTGATTTTTATTTTCTTGATGAAATATTCCCCCGCCCCTCTTATAAAGATTTTTTTTCCAAAAGTTAGACACGTTTTTTAGGGAACATTGAGATTTCATTACTTATTCCTTTTACTTTTACCTTATGTGTGTTACTGTTCAATATAATGATGATAATTTGAGATACTGGTGTTCTAATTTTATTTTATTTTATTTTAGGGCAGCCTCAAGTCCTCTGAAGACCCTAGAAGGACACACTAAGGGTATCCTAAGCTTGGCGTGGTGTAAAGATGACTCAGACCTCCTGCTGTCCTGTGGGAAGGATAATAGGATCATTGTCTGGAACCCAAACAGTGCACAGGTAGTTTTACAGAGGTTTTTTCAGTGACATTGTAGCAGAACTACAAGAACCCAATATTTCAGGGTGATATTGTAGCAGAACTACAACAAACCAATATTTCAGGGTGATATTGTAGCAGAACTACAACAACCCAATATTTCAGGGTGATATTGTAGCAGAACTACAACAACCCAATATTTCAGGGTGATATTGTAGCAGAACTACAACAAACCAATATTTCAGGGTGATATTTTAGCAGAACTACAACAAACCAATATTTCAGGGTGATATTGTAGCAGAACTACAACAAACCAATATTTCAGGGTGATATTGTAGCAGAACTACCGACTACAAACCAATGGAGTTTCGATGTATCCTGGTGTCCAAGGAATCCTGCTATTATTGGTAAACTTGACATTCTTATTCACAATTATTTTGCATTTTGTTTTGTTTTTTGTCAAAATTTGATCACGAAAAAAGGGAATATAAATTGTTTTGTAGCTCATAAATACAAAATCAAAATATTTTGTTTAAGACTTTTTTAACATTCTGTTTGTTCAGCGAGTGCAAGTTTTGACGGTCACGTTAGCGTGTATAGCATGATGGGAGGACAGCAGCAGGAATTAAACAAAAATCAAATTTTTATAATTTTGCACAAAAACAGTCAAATCTTTTGTGTTGTGAACCCTGGGACCTAGCAGTTAGATTTTACGTTCGTTGTCTATGATTTATGTTAAAACTCTTGGATACCCTTTATCATTACAAAAATTAAAGCGATGTTACGATGGATATCGAGATAAACGTGATTTAACACAAAAGTGTTAACCTCCGGCTTTCTTCTTGAGAGTTATTTCATTGTTTTTGGTTAAAAAAAAAGGTTCAGCCGACAAATCAGATAACAGAAAGTTTCGGACCTGGTATGGAAAATATGCAACAAGCTGCTCCGAAGGTAAAAGAAATATCATTAAAAAATTGGTTAAAAATATTTTTTAAAAATGATTTTAGACTTATTATTTTGTTTTATGCATCATGATAATTTATTGCAGGTGACCATGCAGCTAAAAAGCCCTCCAAAATGGTTGCGTCGACCATGTGGTGCATCATTCGGATTTGGCGGGAAACTTGTTTCTTTTGAGAACATCAGTCAAACACTGACCAACAATCAGGGACAACCTGTCGCACAGCATAAACCCCAGGTTGGTTGTCCTGTTATAAAAAGATGAAAGCCGAAACTTATTTTTAATTTTTTAATTTAAAAAATAGATTTTGTTGATTGTTATATGTCTAGGTGTATATTAGCAGAGTTGTAACTGAATCTGAGTTGGTTGCAAGATCTGAGAAACTAGAAACTAGTTTGGACTCGGGAAATCATGCAGGTCAGGGGGGAATCGGAGGGTTATTATTACAAAGTTACGGATGTTTGCGCGGAGTGCATCGAAAACAAATTCTTCACTAAATTATGAAAAATAAATGGTTTTTAAGAGGAAATAACTCAATTTAAAGGGTGAAAAGGTATCTAAATGTCTAATTTTTCATTTTCCTTCCCAATTCATCAAAAATCATTAAATTATTATAATTTTTACAATTATACAGAGAAAAGTACACCCCTGTACCGTATCTAAGTCAGGATCAGCTCAGAAGTTAGAATTTTTTCTTGGGATTAAGCATTGATCTCCATCGTTAGCACACATACATATTACCTTCATTTCTGTTTGATATCCCATCATGATCATACACTGTAGGGATAACTTAAATTGAAAGGGTCAAGCATTTATCCTCAAATTTAAAAATGTCCAAATTTGGCTATCGAGATCAAGCGTAAAAGATTGAAGATTAAAGATACTCCAGACAAAAGTTCAGATCTCAGTTGCCACAGTAAACTATTAAGATGATTGTATTGTAGAATTCTGTGCAAATAAATCTGCAAGCGTTGAGGGTGAGGAGGGGAAAGTTTGGCAATTTATTGGCGCATCATTCAGCACAGATCCAGCAGCTGAATATCTTAATCTACTTGGACTAAATCTAGAACAGGTAAACAACTTAAATGTTTTGAATCCCGGGACACCAGGGGTAAACAACTTATATGTTTTGAATCCCGGGACACCAGGGGTAAACAACTTAAATGTTTTGAATCCCGGGACACCAGGGGTAAACAACTTATATGTTTTGAATCCCGGGACACCAGGGGTAAACAACTTATATGTTTTTAATCCCGGGACACCAGGGGTAAACAACTTATATGTTTTGAATCCCTGGACATCAGGAGTCAACAACTTTTATGTTTTGAATCCGGTGATTAGTTAAAAGTTATCATGATAAATCGGTGTAATGTATATTATCGCTGTTTTACACAAAAGTTAAAGGGTGCCCTTCAATCTGTCTTTGTGGAAGTTGCAGGGGGAAAGATCCAAGAGAAAGGGAAGGGAAGTATTGTGAAGGGAAGCAAAAAGGGAAGGCAAGGAAAACAGGAAGGCAAAGAAAAAGGGGAAAGAAGAAGTGGAAAGAAAAAGTGGAAAGAAAAAGTGGAAAGAAAAAGTGGAAAGAAAAGGGAGGGGGAAATGAAAGGAAAAGACGAATAAAAAGTAAAGGAAAGGGGGAAGGGTAACAGCGGAACAAAAGAGAAGGGTGGTGAAAGCAGAAAGGTAGGGAGGGGGAAGGGAGGGAAGTTGATAGGTAGGAAAGAGATATGCAGGGAAGAGGAAAAGTATGGACGAGGAAGGTTGGGAAGAAAAGGGGAAGATTGAGAGGGAAAGAGGAATATAGGGAATATGCATAATTTTAGGGATTATTATGCACTGCAATATAAATACTAAAAAATTATGTCTTTTCAGTTATCGTATTTGGAGAAAGAAATCAAAAAAAATTGGGGAGGGGGATAAAATAAAAAAAAATTTAATTATACGCCTGGGAAGTTGACTATTATGTTTTTCTTGTATTGTTTTTTTTTATTTGAGGACAAAGTCAAGAATTTTTTATAAAAGCATGCATCAAATGTAAGTAAAAACTTAAACGTTTGGTACCTCTATTTTGAAATGCCGCACCTCCCTTACATCAAACTAAAAAATTGTAACGTTTTTTGTGACATTTTAAAACTAATCGTAGATTTAACCGCTAGGTAAAGGATAAACTAGAGAAATATGTGAAACCAGCAAATATGGTGAAGAAAACTGTCAACGGGGTGGCTGCTGACATATCATGTAAGAATGTTTGACAAATTATGCATTTTTAAAATAAAACTTGTCGATTTTAGATAAAAAACTTTTTGTGACCAGGATTTACAGGGTGGCATGTCTGATTCACGACGATACAATTTAAACTTTGTCTGATCAATCTAGAATAAGATTTTATAATTTGCCTTGGTTAACATAGATCATTTCTTTAAAATTTATTGGAATCATACTGCAGAGAAAAAACAGAGGAAATATTTCTTATATATAGTATTTAGAGGTTTATAGTATTCCATTGTGAACTCGACATGCCACTGTTTAGATTACGTCTACGACACTCGACAGTCTTTTAAATGATGATTTCTTTATTCTACAAACTTTTCGTGTTCTTAAATTTGATTTAATGATAATCGTACAGTTGTAGGCGATTATATCAATGCAATAAAGAATGCTTTTAATTTCAATTAAAGCCAAGCTTTTTAACAGTATGGAGACACATAAACATGGAAACAAAGAGAAGCTTGTAATCGGAAAAAAAACTATCAATCCAAACTTGAATAAAAAAATGGTCTTCATTGTTTTGATAATCGCCTAGCACTAAATGTGTATAGGTATGGGAATTAACCAGACTGAAGATGAATTTGATGTAATTGCTGACAATGTTGCTGAAACAGAAATAGTTCCAACCTCTTTAGACATTGGGTTCAGGTATAGAAGGAGATTGCGAGATGAAATCTTTGATTATGATTTTTCGACATAGATCCAACCTCACTACAGACGACTTCACCGGGTGCTACCAGAATTGGTTGGACAGGCACCGAAAAAGCATTCGTGTAGCTATGTCGGAAAATCACATTAAAAGTTTTTTTTTCTCTAACTTTACTGTGTCATTGTTTTCTGAGAGAATCGCATACTTAAATAGATGCACCTCGTAGTTCGAAATAATACCGGAAAATTCTAGAAAAGGAAGACAACTTTTAGACTTCACTTACGACTTTAAATAGTCAAATGAGCTGAGCATGAGACACAGACACTGTGCAGTGTAAAACATCATCAAACACCAACATCTACTAAATAATATAATAATATGATCATAAAATAATAAGTAACGCTTTAATGTCGTGTTCACTGTTAAGAAGCCACAGTTTTCTGGTTCTTACTGTACTTAAGATCATAACTGAAAAAAATAAGATATCTAAAAAACATGATAGAACCCATATTCAAACTTTTTGACTGATCCCCCCCCCCCCCTCCATATCTAAACTTAAGACCCCTCTTATTATTAATTTTTTAGTCAGAATATTTTTTTTACAAGAATTGGAGTCATTTTTTTCTAACCTGCTTGATTAATTTTGCCCAAAAATATTTATGATTTTTAAAAACTTCAGTGAACAAATTTGTCTAATAAAACATAGCTAATATTGTTTTCCGGGTTTTGAGTTTAAAATTTAAATTAAATCGTCCAAAACTGTTTTTTTAATAAGTAAAGTTCTGAAAAAAATGACATGATGACAGATGAGTCAAGTAGAAATTAGATTTACCCTCCTAGACTTATTTATTAAAATTTGGGCCCCAAAAAATTTAGATGAATTTTCATTAAAAAAAGTTAATAATGTTCCTGATTTCTAGTTTGGATATTAGCTCAGGAGCTGAACCAGCTCAGCTCAGTTTAGCGCTCCTCACTGGAAATATAGAGCTAGCCGTAGATCTGTGCGTGCAGCAGGCGCGCTGGGGAGATGCTCTTATTCTAGCCGCTCAGGTAATCTTTATCTCGAGTGTATATTTTTGTTGAAAAATAATTTCCCATCCCTCCTCTTGACAATAATGCAGGGGTGTATATTTTTTACTGCAAAAATATGAGCTTTTGAAAGAGGCTTGGGAAAAGAATGAAGTGAAGGAAAAAGGAAATTGGAAAAGTATGATGTGTGAAGAGTGAAGGAAAATGGGAAAAGTGTGATGAAAAGAATGAAGTGAAGGAAAAAGGAAAATGGGAAAAGTGTGATGACTGGAGAGTGAAGGAAAAAGGAAAACTGGAAAAGTGTGATGACTGAAGAGTGAAGGAAAAGGGATAAAAAGAGGGAAAATAGGGGAATTCATTTATTAAGCAAACTTTTTTTGTTGAAAAATACGATAAGGGGACGCAGTCCAATCAACATGAAACACAGCAATTTTGCTGTTTGATTAGAACAGGGTTATTTCACTACAAAGTTGATTTTCAAGCTGCTGGTAAACCTTTATCTTTTTAACAACAAAAAATACAGACAAGATTGTTATAATATCGCCTTTCTATTCAAGTTTATTAAATTTTGATAATTTGCCTCACGCGATTTAGAAGATGAATAATACAGCATTACCCAGGAAGGATGAGACTGTAAAGACCGGAAACTATCTTATTTGAATAACCCTGTATAGTGTATATTATTGAATCAGGTTGGAGGGGAGCTGCTGACGAAAACGCAAGCTCTGTATTTCCAACGAGAGAATGCCGGGGGAGGTTCTGCTGCTCTAGTTGAAGCTGTGGTTATGAACGCTTGGGAGAGGTAAGTCTAGAATATATGTTTTAAGGAACTATTTAGGAAACCTAGAATTTATGTACAATTTCAGAAACCTAGAATTCATGTTTATGGGACTATTGACATAATTTCTAGGAAACCTAGAAGTTATGTTTATGGGACTATTGACGTAATTTTTAGGAAACCTAGAATTCATGTTTATGGGACTATTGACGTAATTTCTAGGGAACCTAAAATTCATGTTTATGGGACTATTGACGTATTTTCAGGAAACCTAGAATTCATGTTTGTGGGAAAGACGACATTCGAATCGGAATATTGTTTTTATATTTTCCTAGCTTTGCTACATTTAAAAGCTTGTATTTAACAACAAAGTTTACGCACGGCAAATGTTTCCAATTTAATGACGTGGGGAAATTGTTAGGACTATTAAAAAGGCCGAAATGCAGTAGCCCTTACCGTATCTCATGCCCGGGCTGAGTTGTTTATATTCCTTCCTCCCGGAACATGCAGTTCATTTATTTGTAAACAGGTTGGTTGAGAATGCAGAACTCGCTTCCTGGAAGGAAGTACTCTGTGCTGTTGTTGTGTACTGCACTATGGAAAGACGTCTGCTCCTGGCCGGTCAGTTTGTGTATATCTTTATATATCGGGCCCAAATTTTGTGTGGGACCTAACATTACCTCAGGGAAGGTTTATAAGTTATCAAAATTCCAAAAATTTGCCGCAAACAAAATTTAATTTTCTAAAAATCCACAAAGTTTTCGTTTTACAATGTATACAAAGAGAAATTGTTCACAATTGAAATAGAAGAGCCTGGTGTTTGGAAAATAGGCAAACTTGATGAGCGGCGGGCTGCAAACTTTGTAAATGTTAATTTTCCCCATCTAAGGTTTAGCATGATTTTCGTAAGATGGGGACTTGAGGCTTTTTGCCGCAAAACTATGTTTAAAAGCGTCTCAAAGGAAATTCAAGTTTATTTCATGTGATAAAGATTGCAAAAATGTAAAAAGTAACATTTTTCACCAAAAAGTGCACTTAAGCTCGGATTTTTGTAAAACTCAATTTTGCAGTTAAAATACATAATTTTGAATTCACATGCAAAAAGATCAGCAATCTTTACTATTTTAAGTTATGTTTAAAAACTGTTTAAAGTTTTTAGGAGAGTAATACGTTTTAACCCCCCCCCCCTTTTATAAATAACATTACTGTAGTGAAAAGAGTGAAAACCATATCAGTTGATGTCCCAAATCTTCAAGAGGGGGAGGGGGTTAAACCTTTAAATATGTACCCTTGGCTGAAATGCATTGATTTTTCCTGTTCGACTGAAAATAATGTTTTTGATATACAGGGAAACTAGCTGCACGGCTTGCTGAAGGCGGGATTAAGTACAAGACTGCCAGTACACTAGCGTACATTGTTGCCGCTGATCTGGAACATGTACTGGATATGTGGATTAAAGAATCAGCTACGCCACAGCAGCTACAGGTTCCCAATTTCATAATTTTCTATAACAGTAGTGTGCACTATTAAAGTTATTTTGGCTTTTAATAGCATTTTAATGTCTCCTTACATATCGGGCTTGCGCACTGAATCCTAAAAAATGTTCACAATCGGATATGATTCACCAAAACTCAAACAGACAGGGTAACTGGCCAGGAGCTCAACCTTGGAGCTTAATACCTCATTTATCCTAAAGGAAATGATACTTTGACTGTAAGTTGAATGAAATTAATAATAATAGGTTAAAAGAATTGTATGGAAATACATATTTTCTACCCTAGGTAATCTTACAAGGTAAGGACCGTCCTAATCTTTGAATTGTTTAGGATATGGTTGAGGTTGTTGTTATGTTGAGAGCTGCCATCATTAACCAAGGAATCTCAGCAGATCTTGGAGCAGATAGTAGGCTGGCCGGAAACCTGGCCAGGTGAATTATTTTGTAATATCATTATCAACCGGGCTTAACTTGGGTTCAGGGTCTCACAAATTTTTAGATGACTTACCATTCATTGATTGAGAGGCATTCTTAAATCCTATTATGTTGGTTTTATTTTATTTTCTTTTTCCAGAGCCGGCGATTTAAAAAATTCAAGAAAATACGACTCGGGGTCTAAGCTGTTGTTGAGCTTTATTTACGGCTCGGCCTTTCGAATTTAAGTTGCATCTATTTTTCAACAGAATTTAGTTCATAAAACCGGTTTAATGTTGTATTTGGCGGATTTTCATAGTTGGAATTTAAGGAATTGCGTTTAAGGAATTAAGACTCGAGCCTAAGCTTTTAAATCGCAGGCTCTGGAATCCTTAAATTTTTCTTAAATGGAGGTTCTAAATTGAGGTGAAATTTTATCTTAGTTATCATATCTTGGCAGTTTTATCTTGGGTTAGTTATAATTTGTGTCATGCTTTTTTACACATTGTAAAGATAAAGAAAATTGGAATGAGTAGACCTTTTTAACAATGAGTTAACAACTTTATGTTCTAAGCTATGCAACCCTGCTGGCTAGCCAGGGTTGCTTGTCCTCTGCTCTGGTATACCTGGGGAACACAGGGTCCAACCCTCAGCTCCAGGAACTCAAGGAGAGGTTGGATAATGCCTTGGCTGGTCATGGTACAGGAGCCGCTGTTCAGCAGAACAGATCTAGTACAGGACCCGGAGTTCAGCAGACCAGACCTGGATATCCAGGACACGGTTCTCAACCTGGTTCTGTTCCAGGTTCAAGGCGTCAATCTCATCAGGTCAGTGAAATACATCTGTAATAATTTGCTACTAAGTTTCCTAGGCAAACTAACTAACTTAGCTTCCCATAAAGAGGAAACGCTTGAAATAAAAATGTTATCTCTATTAATTTATTGGTTCGTCTGTTTGTATCCAATAGACTTAAAACTGCTGAAACGATCAGGCCCAATTTTTTGTGGGACCTTACATGATCCCAGTGATCGTTGGATGTTTAGAATTAAAATATATTTTTTTAATGTCTTTTTTTAATTTCCACAAAAATTTAACAAATCTGCGACTTTGTTCGTTATTGTTTGATTTTTATTAAGTAAATATGCCGCAGATAGAGCAGCAATTTAAAGTTAAAATCTAACATGGGCGCAAAGCAGCCTTGTCCACTCAAAGTTAGAGGCACATCGTTCAAGTTGTTGACACGCTATGATCAGGCATACAAACAAACCTGACCTACAATGTTTCAGCCTGTGGAGAAGAAAATAAGTGATCCTTGGTCCCAATCTTCTCAATTTAATACTGGGCTTCCAAATCAGTTTAACCAGGAAATTAACCATTATTAAACATTTAAACCAATGATCAGATCAACCCAGTTTTCCCGGCTCTAGGAACACCAGGTAAAGAGAATCTCAGATATAAGACGACGACATTTAAATAAAATTGATATTTTGGACAACTATCATTTGAACTATAGATCTTGTAAACTATTGAATATCTAAACAAATTGTTCATATTCAAACATGATGTCATTTCCTAAGTTAAGTTTAAATAATCTTTTTTGTTGAAATTTGAAAAATACTCTTTGGTTTATTGGTATCTGTGTGCTTTAGACCCATTCTTAGTCTGTAATATAAAACATACATTGAATTTCACAGGGTAAACAAAAACCCACAGACAACCATTCTTAGAGATTAGTAATACTTAGCCTGCTAGTGATTATGTAAAACAATCACAAATAAAAATCACATTGGAATTACACAAACCATTGTTTTCTTATCATATGTGAAAAATTGTATTTTCAATGATGTCCCTGATGCACGAGGGTTGGTAATCCTAAGCCCAAAACTCTCCAAAAGAAATTCTGTGGCACAGTACTTTCTTCGGAGTGTATAACAATAAATAAAACCATTTTTGCCTTGAGTATTCTTTTTTTTAACTAACGTTTAACTCAAATACTACACATGAAAACATATATTTAGTTTTATTTGATCAAGTGTTCAAAAGTTCAGTAGTGCACATGAATAATTCAATCAGCATACCACATGACTTCTTTGAGAGGTTAATTGTCGTCTTCTACATGAGATTCCGACTGTGGTCGTTAAGTCTGGGTGAAATTAATAGGAATGCCTCCATGGCACTGAGAAACCTTTTAATTCAGTTGACTTTGTTCATGACAACAGTTCATTGATTTCTGTTGAAATTGTTAAATGGTTTATAAATTTGATCAGGGATTTAACCAGCCAGCCAATTCTTTTAATCCTCCAGCCCAAGCATTCAATGCTCCAGCCCAAACTTTCAACCCACCCGCTGCACCTTCGTACAGCAACCCTCCAGCTAACTTCGCTAGCTCCGGCTCCTATGCTGAACCAGCTGCTGTTCCGACCTTCCAACCCCCGCCTATGGAAGCTGTAACTCCTGTCAGCATTGGGAACCCGCTGCTGAAGCGCACTAGGGCTGTTGATCCGTCCATCTCATCACCTGGTCAGGGAGGAAACTATGGAAACAACTTCAACAACTACAACCAAGTAAATTAATTTGTAGTAAAGTCTGGTTATACTAAAGAACCTTAGGAGCGACTGTAAGCATAATTTCAAATGACATTCCATTTGCAGAGTGACATGTCCGATTTACAACGATACCCTTTTAAATCTTTGTTGATCAATGATTTTGTAGATATTCTTTTCCACATAGCGGGAAAATAAGTGCCAAGAATTCGCGCGAGTGTGCACTAGCACGGAGTGTAGAGTGTACACTGTACACTGTAACCTTATGTCTCCTCTTCCGGCACTTAATCTTCAGCTATACAAATGAGTAACGTTGTGGATCAGACATGCCTCTCTTTTTTAATGGAAGGTCACTTGAAAGTACACTTACAGTCGCTTCATGAAAAACTTCTTTAAGAAGAACATAATGTTGCCCTAAATTAACGAAATTTTCTTCTATTTTAATTATTTTAATGTTTGTTTGAAGGTATACAGTGGACAAGGAGACTATTCCAACCAAGGAGGAACAGGAGGAGGTTATGGATCCCCAACTTCATATCAACCTAACTCCTTCCAACCTGCTCCTACTTCCTTCCAACCTGCTCCTTCCACCTTTCAACCACAACCCTCTACATATGGGAGTCAGCCTGCAGGACAGCCGAATATATTCACTCCTGATCCTGTAAATAACTCTATTATTCCAGGTAAATTAGGGACACCTTTCTCCTTATACATATCTCCGTTTTTGGCTACGATAGAAGTAAATAAGACCAGAGGTGTTTTGTTCAGATTTAGCACAATCAGTGTAAACTTGTTCACTGTGCTCTGTACAGTGTACAGTGGTGACCCATCTAGATCTAGAACTACTAGTGTATCTAGTACGGAGGAGGCTCTACCTCTGAGTCCTACTACTAACTTCTAATGTTTAGGTGTGGGTGTGGCTAGATCTAGAACTGTAATAAATACAGTGTCTGATCATATAATTATACATTTGAACATGACCTGCCATTCTACTCTAAAATATAAAATATTAAAAGTAGAACCTAACCATTCCAAAATTGGGATTACTATGATTTGGCACAAATATGCATTAGAGATCACAATTGTTTGATGGTAGGCCTTATTCTCCTGAAGTTTACACCTTTTAGGGTAGTTTAAATTGCACCCTGCGACCGACGGGTTCCCGACAGTCTAGGACCCCTACTAATGTTTAAGAACGGGATTTGGCTAGATCTAGAACTACTAGTGTATCCAGTACAGTAGAGGGTGGAGCTCTACCTCCTAGTCCTACTACTACTGAGTACTAATGTTTAGATGGGGGTGTGGCTAGATCTAGAACTACTAGTGTATCTAGTACAGTAGAGGGTAGAGCTCTACCTCCTAGTCCCACTACTACTAAGTACTAATGTTTAGGTGGGGGTGTGGCTAGATCTAGAACTACTAGTGTATCTAGTACAGGTGGGGGAGGAGCACTACCACCTCCAAACTTTGTGCATACCCCTGATCATGGAGGACCTGGCTACCAACCTACAGTTTCTAGTGGAGCAGGTAGTTCATCATTCATTTGTTTTCTACCTTTTTCTAGAGGCATGTCCGATTCACGACGGTACACTTTTAAACTTTTGTCCGGGCAACGATGAGGTAGATAACCTTCCTCATTTATAGTGCTGAAGATTGAGTGACGGACCCCGGTGTCTTGCATGGAGTGGACTCTTGCATGGGGTGGACTCGACCCCTAAAGTTTTAACCATTTTAACACAATGTTAGACATGAAAAGCAATGTTAAAACACTAAAAATTATCTGTTTAACCATATTAAATACGCATTTAGTTCTAAAATGTTTTTTAAAGGGGATAAAGGCAAAAAAGGTCATTTCCTCTTAGTGTCGTTTTCTTGTACACTGTACTCTCCGTGCTAGTTTGCAATCGCGCGCTTTATAGGCACTTGATTTCCTACTATATAAATAAGAAAATCTTCGAAATACTTAATCAAACAACGATTTAAATGGTATCGTTGTAAATCGGACATGCCTTCTATAAATGGAAGGTCATTTTAAATTGTGCTTACAGTCCCATTAACATAAAAAGAAAATTGTGTTTAGGTGGTTTAATCATAATAATAATAATAACAATAATAATAATCATTAATCTTAATGTATTATATAGTAACAAGAAAATTGTAGAATATGAAGACGACATTAATACTACACTAAGTGTATTTGAGTTGTTACACAGCAAATAGTTTTACTAGTCACTTATTTAATCACTTATCCATTGAAATAAGTCTGTTTAAACGATACAATTGCTTTGTCTCGTGTTTATTGGACTATTTAAAGTCATAACTTGAGTACAAAAGTCGTCTTCCTGGAAAGAGTTTTCTGGTTTTCACTGTACATCATTTGTAAAATTCATAATCAATCCTTTCCTCTGGTCATTGCTTTTTCTTTTCCAATATCCATACCATTTTGATCATTTACTTATTCATTTTTTGTTCTGTTTTTTTTCAAGTAACAAAATAAAATGGATCGACCTAGAAGCACCGCTGTTCACATTGGATCCATCCCTTTTATTCTTCTACGTTTATTTCATAATTCATACAGTTAAAACCTAAAAGACCCGGAATTTATTTATAATTAATTAGACGACTAATCTAATTTTACAAATATGAAGAATAAAACGATAAAACAAAATAGCCCTAGTCCTGGTAATTCTAAAATGTGGTCTTCCTTTATTGCGTGTTTGATATTACCAGAGATATATTTTTTAAGTTGTATGATTAACTGTCAATTAATTCCGAGTCTTTCTGGTTATACAACTCCAACCTATACCCCAGGAGCATAAAGCAGTTCAGGTGGGAAACATTGTCTAGTAAATATTGATTGTTAATTAAAACCCACTCTTCAGATCATGACACGTATGTTGATTTGTGAGCAAATTTAATAAATTAAGTATTCTCTACAAGTTTGAATTATCCAATTGTGCAACATTTTCACTCTAACAGAAGATTTTAAGACATGAACGGAAGAATAAATGAAACCATTAACTAACAGTTAATTTTTTTCTTCCGTTCAAGCTAATTTATATGTTCGAAAAAATAGAAAGAACAAGCTGTCCACTGGTCCAGGTCTAGTTGAACCACTTCTCTTGAACATGAACCGGCGTACTAAAGAAGTAGTTAAACTAAGACTGCTAAATTCAACTACTTTTCGTTGTACATTACAGTTGGTCCCTTATTAATTTTATTCTGACCTTAGTGGATTTGATGAATAAACTTCCTGTTGCTAATGTGAATAAGAAACTGATTATTTTTTTGTGAATCAATCTTAATAAACAAGATAGAGATTGTAATTTGCACAAAAAATGTTTTATTTAATAAACCTATTAATATTTTAGGAAGTGCTTGATATCTTGCTAAACCGATGTATTCAGGCAGCTAATCATCCTCAAACCAGGAGGAAACTTGAAGATGTGCATTCTAAACTAAACATACTGTACAACAAGCTTAGGTATAGTACATCAGTCTAGTTGAAGATGTGCATTCTTAACTGAACATACTGTACAACAAACTTAGGTATAGTACATATGCCTAGTTGAATAAGATGTGCATTCTAAACTGAACATACCGTACAACAAGCTTAGGTATAGTACATCAGCCCAGTTAAAGAAGATGTGCCTTCTAAACTAAACATACTGTACAACAAACTTAGGTATAGTACATCAGCCTAGTTGAAGAAGATGTGCATTATAAACTGAACATACTGTACAACAATCTTAGCTATAGTACATCAGCCTAGTGGAAGAAGATGTGCAATCTAAACTAAACATACTGTACAACAATCATAGCTATAGTACATCAGCCCAGTTGAAGAAGATGTGCATTCTTGACTGAACATACCGTGCAACAAATATACTCTCCGAACAAAAAAATATTTTCCCCTTCATTCAGTAAAAGCCTTAAATTATAATGGAAGATAAGTCTTTTTCTGAGTTAATTGTTTATCTTTTATAATGAAATGAACATTTAAAAATTGTGAACTGTTTAGGGGAGGAGTACTGAGTGGAGGAACGTTGCAGGGTCTTCATCAGATCATTCAGTTTATCAGACAATATGATTATCAGTCTTGTTTACAGGTAGTAATATATTCAGTTTGTTAGATAATATGATTATCAGTCTTGTTTACAGGTAGTAATATATTCAGTTTGTTAGACAATATGATTATCAGTCTTGTTTACAGGTAGTAATATATTCAGTTTATTAGACAATATGATTATCAGTCTTGTTTACAGGTAGTAATATATTCAGTTTATTAGACAATATGATTATCAGTCTTGTTTACAGGTAGTAATATATTCAGTTTATTAGACAATATGATTATCAGTCTTGTTTACAGGTAGTAATATATTCAGTTTATTAGACAATATGATTATCAGTCTTGTTTACAGGTAGTAATATATTCAGTTTATTAGACAATATGATTATCAGTCTTGTTTACAGGTAGTAATATATTCAGTTTATTAGACAATATGATTATCAGTCTTGTTTACAGGTAGTAATATATTCAGTTTATTAGACAATATGATTATCAGTCTTGTTTACAGGTAGTAATATATTCAGTTTATTAGACAATATGATTATCAGTCTTGTTTACAGGTAGTAATATATTCAGTTTATTAGACAATATGATTATCAGTCTTGTTTACAGGTAGTAATATATTCAGTTTATTAGACAATATGATTATCAGTCTTGTTTACAGGTAGTAATATATTCAGTTTATTAGACAATATGATTATCAGTCTTGTTTACAGGTAGTAATATATTCAGTTTATTAGACAATATGATTATCAGTCTTGTTTACAGGTAGNGATGATTTTCCGTTATTACTATAAATCAAATGATGTTTTTTATTCACCTTTTTCATTTTATAAAGCTTATTTAACAGCTCTAAAAAATTTGAAATCGAAATGAATAGTCTAGGGAACCTACTGTATTAATTTACTCCACTGCATATAATTTGTGAACATTTACATGATTTGTACAGGCTGAAAGGGACTGACAAAATTCATACCGAGGGATTGTCTAAATTCCACTCTAATATATATTCTATTCTCTTTAGGGAAGGTTCATTTTAAAGTTTTTGAATCCCAAATTTAAAAACATCATTAGCCCGAATCTCTAAACACCTAAACCTTATGGACTATATTGTGCAACTACAAATCCGAAAAGTTTATATATCAAACTATAAATTCTGCTAGATCATATCAAGGGTTTACAACATAGACAAAGAAAGAGATTCAGCCAACTCTTCTCACGAAACCTCGATTCCAAGAGGAAGCGGGGGTCATACCTTACACATACTTAAAGTGAGTAAATACTAAAGTGGAACAGACTAAGGCAACTACGACAGGTTGTGCCATAAGGTTTTGGTTCGGAAATAATTGCATGAAAAGATTTCTTGTGGAAAGTAAAGACTAGAAAAAATAGACTAAAGACCCATGTAAATGTCGTTTTCAGTTAGACTTCAAAATTTTCATAGTTAAAAATTTTTGTATTTTGTATGTAGTTTATATGCAAATACTATATAGCCAATTAAACAATTCATTGATTTTGCCTGGCACTTCTAATTCTATTGGAATTTATCTTTAAAACTGCTTAGTTTTGTTCTTTCAAATCTCACTAGGAAAAAGAAATGTAAGCCCTGCCTGGGGAAAAAAAATCTTAAATACGCCTCTCTTAATATCAATAAAACTATGTCTAGTTCTCAACCTTTTTTAAATCTATCAAGATACAAAAGTGAAGACCAAGAGGTGTATTTCGAAGATCTTCATTTTTTGGTATCACAGATTGTGCATTTCTTGTTTTACAGATTATGCATGCAGGCATTATTGTGCTGTCTGAAATTATTTATTGCTCAGTAAAATGGCTAAAATTCAAATCTGAAATCTTAATTTACGTTAATCTATATTTAAGTCAAATACAAATTCTAAGCCTGTGTTTGTAAACTCCGTACAGACCAATTTATATATATATATTATTTCTAAATACTTGGGACATAAAATGTCATCATCCAACTATGAGTTTGGCCCACTTCAGTATTTAATCACTTTGACAAATACTGCAGGGTCTGCAGGGGTTTGTTGTAATCTCCGTTTTTGCATATATGTAGGTCATATATTTAGCAGGCATCAGTTCTAAATGATCTGAGAGATAGATAGCTTTTTTCCCTAAAATGTAAACAAAACAATGAAGTAAAAAAAGGAACCTCTATCAATGTCTACTCTGTGGTTCACAACGTAATCAGGTTGCATAGATATTCGGATTTTAAAAAGTTTAAAGAAAGTTCTATTTCCTTCTTTTTTCAGGTTGCCCAGCAGTCCGGAGTGTACGTTGAGTACAACCAGTAGGAGGTCATTGTGTACATAGAGTACTCCGACATGGTGTACATTATGTACAAACATCTCATTATAGGATCGGGAGATCATGTACACAGTACAATTGCGTACATTTAAGAGAATTATGGAATTATTTCATCTAAAATGAATTTTATTATTTCTTACAAGTTAGAAAACTAAAAGTACTTAGATCAGGATCCGTATGCTGTACAGTGTACATATTGTACAACGGACACCGTACTTTAACTGTACAGTGTACATATTGTACAACGGACACCGTACTTTAACCGTACAGCTTAAACAGCATTGATCGTTGATAACTTTTATTTCTCAGATATGCCAGGGAAATAAAAATTAGCACGAAGTAATTAAATATGTTTTTATTTATTATACGCCCTGATAAGGGATTAAAAAAGTGGCAGTGATGCGGTATTGAGTGTGATCTTATTTATTAAAAAATATATGATTTTATGAATTAAATAAATTTTTAAGTAATTATTATTCTTTTTTTGAAGACTTTCCATGTTTATCGCTAATTTCAAGCTCTTGGGAATAAACAGGGTGTCCCAAAAACATGGGAACTGAGTGACTTCAATTCCGTGTTTTTTCCTCGTGGCATTATTACAAAAACACAATGTTAAGTATTGTAGATAAAACTTCTTGTCTTGAGAATTCCAAAATGTGGTTTACCATATTTGCAAAAATTGGCTGATATCAAAAATTGATTATCGAATAACAACTAAATCTTTCAAATGTTTAATAACTCCGCCAATTCTTAAAATACAATGGCGGCAGCCCACATTTTTAGAAGCTCATAATACGTTTAGTCTTTATTAATACACTCGTTGTCAACTATCGGAAATCGAAGAGTATTTTTATCTGTATAAATGTATATAAATATCCGTTGAAAATATTTCTGTGCAAACTGCAGCCCGTCAAATCGTATCTGCATTTAAGTTAGATAATCAAAATTGCAACAAAATTGTTAATGCATCGCTTCCCCCCTGAGCAAATATAGCTTTTAAAGGATCTTTAAAACTAAAAGATTTAAAAAAAACGCTAATTAACTTTATTTCATCAATTCAATATTCTATAAAATTACTAAATCTATGATTTATGCAAAAGTAAAACATATATCTCAAATGATATCAATGCATTAGCAAGATTTAAAGGCTGTAAATATTGCTATAATTTAATATAGAAAATTTAAATAACTTTTGGTTACTTAGGTCAACAGAACTTTTAGTTACTATAAAACGGAAAGACATTTTTCTATTGAAATAACAATCATATCTTTGGCATCATCAAAATAAGTTTTAATTGTAATCAAATTTAAGTAAGTATTCTGAATACTGGTAGCAGTCAATCACGAGATTCACACATTTCGAAATACCGATTTTTAGTACGAAAATAATTTACTAACACATAGAAATTTTATTCTTCTAAGTTAAAATTAACACATTATATTATAGGACTGTTTTATTATATAAAACTTAACCAATAAATAAATAATTTTCATTGTTCCTCAACCATTTGACATGGTTTTGTGTTCGTCGGGGTTCATTTGTAGAGACATATCTTTAAAAATATACTGCATCAATAGCAAGTTTCAAAACAGGAAAGCTTTTACATCTCAATTCTTCTTTCTTAATAATCTATTTGGAATTAAATTAAACGTTAAAAGTGAACAAAAATGTTGCAAATTTACTGTCGGACATAAATACAAAAACCTTTTATTTATATCTCAAAAAATTAAATTTGACAAAAACAACTTCAGTCTTTAGTTAAAAAGGGCAATATGACAGCTATAGTTTTATAAAAACTTACACGCTTCTCTAAACTATATGGACATAGCTATTTTGGACTAATTTACTGCAGAATAGACTGATTCCTTTTTGGTTGAATAATGAGCAGACTGATTCCCATTAAACTCTTCTAAATGGATTGCTGAAAGACGAATCCTTCAAGACGGAGATTCTCTGATTCACTAGTATGCAGGGTTAACACTCCGCCCAGTACATTCCTATACAACATAATATGCAGGGTTAACACTCCGCCCAGTACATTCCTATACAACATAATATGCAGGGTTAACACTCCGCCCAGTACATTCCTATACAACATAATATGCAGGGTCAACACTCCGCCCAGTACATTCATATACAACATAATATGCAGGGTCAACACTCCACCCGTACATTCCTATACAACATAATATGCCGGATCAACACTCCACCCAGTACATTCCTATACAATATAATATGCAGGGTCAACACTCCACCCAGTACATTCCTATACAATATAATATGCAGGGTCAACACTCCACCCAGTACATTCCTATACAACATAATATGTACAATATGTAAAAAGTAGAAACTTTAGGAAGAAATTGTGTTTATCTAATTAACCCTATCCAAACTGGGATAACTTTTGTCTTATATAGATTGCCCTTAAAGTTGAGAAGGGAGTAATAAGTCCAACTGTTCAATGCCAGCTCTTTAAAAAAAATTAATGGTTATGGTGCTAGATAGGTTAAACCCCCACCGTCCCAATCGTGATAGGGTTAAGCATCTAAACTTGATCAATATTAACGAAACTTCTAATTTGAATTTATGTTTCAATCTTTTTATTTTCAAATTTTTAAGGAAATATCTAAATTTTAGATGCATTATTATATTTAATTGAGATTACAGAGATAGAAATATCAAGAGAAGGAAAATCATAGTTTTTTGAATTTTTGTTTGAAAATTTTTGAAAAATAGACCGAGCTTGTTTTTGAATATTAGGCCTACTTTTGAAGGCTAGATGTTTAAACGGCATTTACAGCAAAATAGTTGATTTATGACCCCATCTTGTAGAAGCATTGTATTTGTTTTAAACACTTCAGTAAAATAAAACGACGTTTAGAATTAAGGCAAAAAAGCTTAAACGCACCTTTTGCACATTTTTTTCTTTAATTCTCAATAAATTGTTTACTTTTCTTCTTCTTAAATTCATTTTATTTTATATTTACATTTCACAGCATTGTTTTGAAATTAAGTTTCCCTTTATCTTTTTAAATTAAACTCAATATTCTCAAATAAAGAAAAAACCTAGAAAATAATTTACTTAGATTTATTAGGTGCTGAAAATACTGTATAACAGCCAGGGTGAGTACATGAACAGCCCTCTCTTATCTCTGTATGACTCCTATAAAATATGATATTATTTAAATACTCCGGATCCGCGAAAATACGCAGATCCATGAATCCGGATCGATGGGGGAAAATATCAACCAAAAATTTCCAAAAAAAAAAACTTTTTTTACTCTCAAAAAACTCAAATTTTAATTGTTGAAAAAAGAGAGATTATGAAAATTTCCTTATCCTTATCAAAAAAAAAAATAATTATTTGACAATTCTGCTTTGTTAAAACAATTCATTCATGGTAAATCTTAAAGAACTGTTCATGACCTGGATCCGGATCCACATCAAAATTAAATGGATCCTATGCACTGCTCAATTATTGAGCACTGCATTACTTTGAACTGTTCCGAAACTACGGGGTGTCCCACGAAACATGACAGTTGGTCAATAGTTTAGAATGTCTTCTTCCATAATTTGTTAAGTTATTTGATATTAATTAGACAATATTACAAATATTATATGGGAGTCATGTTATAGTGAAATTGGTTTCAAAGTGAAATATGTTTCAGAAAAAGATTGTTTAACCAAATAAACTACAAAACGCCTTTAATATCTAATAAAGTATAATAAAGACGACTTTCATAACTATTTACCAACTGTCATGTTTCGTATATGAACAAATAAAGAACAAAGCAAGATAAAAAACGGATAATATATAATAGTTGAATTCCTTTTTCTTTTGATTCTTTAATTTAGAAATTTCCATTTTAGAGTCCCAAGTAATTTTTTACTTTTATACACTCGGTACAAACAGAGAATCAGGGCCCTGCAGTATTATTCCAAAATATTCAAATAAATGTCGTCATCCAACTATGATTTTGGTCCAATATAGTATTCATTCGCTTAAAAGTGCTCTGCAGAGTAGCTTAAGACTTTCTCAATTCAGAATTAAGAAGGGTTAGAGCTACTCCACATAGCATGTACTGGTGAGAAAATAAATTCTCTTATCTGACTGGCGCCGATAACGATAATCGCAAAAGTACATTTAAAACATAGAATTCAAAGACATGTAAGTCACATTGATATTATTGTTTAAGTTTACCTAATTATACACTGAAGATTATTTCTGTTGAGAAAGCTTGCAGTAACATCGGCTCCAAAGAGTATACCTCCCCCACGCTTGTTTTCCTCAATACCTGTCCCTATCTGGAAATAAATCCTTCGTTAAGATACATTAAAACCTCCTATCATGTGGTTCTCAGAAGAATCCTATACTACTATATTGATATCTGGAGTAAACAACTCTGAAAGTTATTTATCACGTTTTAGCTAGCCTCGACTTTAAATCATCGCAACAGCTTACGCTTTGGTTTTACTTTACCTCGCCAACTTACTTATCTTGTTCAGCCTCTTAAGCATTAACATTCTAAAACTGCAACGTGCTTGTTTATAGCTTAGGTTTTAAAAAAAATGAATCATCTTAAAACTGCTCGATTTTTCCATGAGAGCGTGTACAACTTGGTTCGCAGTGATGCGTTTCCGCGAGAGCGTGCACATCTTGATTCGCAGTGATGCGTAATTCTTAGTTGAAAGGAACAATATTCTAATCCAAATATCTTTGCAACCTTATGGTGTACAGTGTACACCTTTGACAATTCTAACATATATGACTATTTATCTAGCAGAATACATCTGTTTGCAAAGATATGGGGATGACAAAATTTAAATTTGTTGCAATTGTTTAATTGTTCAATTGGTTCTTGGTAAATCAAAATATATCTTATGTCAACCTGTTATCATGTTTTTTCCAAATGAGGGGGAGGGGGGTTAATAAAGATTTTTAAATATAAAAACTACTTACCACCATAGGATCAGACCATAGTATATCTACAAGTACATCATCATCTTCAGGCTGAAATCCATTACCCCGGGGTATTCTCCTAAATTACACATTTTAGATAAATATCATACATTCAAAAATATTTTTAACTAGGAGTGGGCTAAGGTCTGCTAACAATTCGAAGTTTTTCAAAAGAAAAAAAAACAATCAGTAGTTAGTTAAATAAATAAAAAAAGCCTTAACGATAAATAATTAAAAGACAATTTTTTGTCTAACCCTCATTAAACTACAATATGTATTTTTTATTTAAAACCAAATACTTCTCAGTACATTATAGAGTAATCGTTCAGAAAAAAACTATAGTTTTTTTGAGGTTTTATGAATATAATTCTTTAGATATTTTTAAAGTGCTAAGTACAGGGTGTCCCACGAAACATGACAGTGGCAAGACGACTTGCACGTCGTCTTTGATTTTTGATATAATTTGCTGCATTTTTGTCAACCTAATTTTTGAAGTAAAATTCTTTAGATAATAATCACAAAATAGCCCAAGTCCAGGCATTTTCAGAATGTGCTCTGTCTGTTTTATGCAATTTCATTAATACCCGAGATATGAAGAATTTTGTTCAGATTTCGACAATTTTTTTTTTAACAAAATTAAAATCTGAACGAAATTCTTTATATTTCCGGTAATATTGACAGCACAAAAAGGCAGACCACATTTTGGATATCCCAGGGCTAGGATAATTTTTTAGTTATTGCTTTAAGAATCATACATGATAAAGTAGGTTGACGACTGAAATAAATCCAAAGAACAAAGACGACTTTCAAATCGTCTTGCTACTGCGCATGTTTGGTGGGACACACTGTATACCTGATATCATCAAGATTAAAGTTGTTAACACTAGAGAGTCCTCCATGCATTATTAGAACATTTCTAGAGACAAGAGTAGCTACTGGCAGTAAACTGAAGATTTCTAAATTAAATAATTCAAGACATTATCCATCAAAACAAAGTGAAAATTTGGTTTCTCAAAAAAAATTTTTGTTAAGTTTTATATAAAATAAATCTATGACAAAGAAAATATGGTTTGTACTGTAAACAATACTTTTTGTATTTTTCTGAGAATGATTTTTGGAAAAATCAAAATCTAAACATAAGTTTACTTTGCTTTTCTTTCCGTTTGTTTGTATACAATAAACGTCAAAATGTTTGAACCGATCGGGAGGAATAGGGAGACGACTCAAAGCAATCTTTAAGTGTATTTGAGTGTAAGAAAGCAAACAATTTTAGTACTTTATATATATATATATATATAGTACCTTAAAAGATTACTTATTAAGTTAAATGGTCTGTGTACAGTGTACACAGACACTGCATAATTGCTGTGTCTCCTGGGAGATGCATCACAACTTGCGTTTTAAAGACGGTTTCCTATTCCATACTTTTCTGGTTCTCACTGTTTTTAGTTCAATAAGATGTATACTTAATTAAAAGTGCATCTACTTTTTATAATGATATTCTGGTTAAGAATATTTTTATAATGGTTTAATATTGTACACAATTCCTTTATGTTCATTGCCGCTGCCTCATGGTTTCCTCTGTTTATGTACACCAGATCAGGATGTACAACTCTCAAAGCAACCAGTACAACGCTAAAATGTAAGAAATTATGTACACAAGACCAGGGTTACAACTCTCAAGGCAACCAGTACAACGCTACAATGTATAAGATATTATTGTACACTAGATCAAGGTGTACAACTCTCAAGGCAACCAGTGCGTACAACGCAAAAATGTAAAATATTATGTACACTTGATCACGGTGTACAACTCTGAAGACAACCAATACAACACTGAAATGCAAGGTACTATGTACATTAGATCAAATTGTACGACGCTAAAATGCAATTGTTATTATCTAAAGTGTAAAAGCACTAGATCGTGGTGTTCAACTCTCAATGCAACCATTGCGTACAACGTTAAAATGTAAGACATTATGTGCACTTGATCACGGTGAACAACTCTCAAGGCATAGTACAACCCTAAAATGCAAGGTATTATTCAAAGTGTACACACTAGATCATGGTGTACAATCTCACAAGGCAACCAGTACAACGCTAAAATGCAAGGTATTATGTAAGTGCACACACTAGATCATGGGTACAACTCACAAGGCAACCAGTACAACCCTAAAATGCAATTGTTATTATGCAAAGTGTATAAACACTAGATCGTGGTGTACAACTCTCCAGGCAACCAGTACAACCCTAAAATGCAAGGTATTATGTACAGTGTACACACTAGATCATGGTGTACAACTTTCAAGGCAACCAGTATAACCCTAAAATGCAAGGTATTATGTAAAGTGTAGACACTAGAACATGGTGTACAACTTTCAAGGCAACCAGTATAACCCTAAAATGCAAGGTATTATGTAAAGTGTAGACACTAGATCATGGTGTACAACTCTCCAGGAAACCAGAACAACCCTAAAATGCAAGGTATTATGTACAGTGTACACACTAGATCATGGTGTACAACTCTCAAGGAACCAATACAACGCTAAAATGCAAGGTATTATGTACAGTATACACACTAAATCAGGGTGTGCAATTCTCTCAGGGCAACCAGTGCTTACAACGTTAAAATGTGAGATATTATGTACACTTGATCACAGTGCACAACTCTCAAGGCAACAAGTACACAGTACAATACTAAAATATAAGATATTAAGTACACTAGTTTCTCATCTTTATGGTTCAACTTACCCTCCATGCATAGATGCAATTCGTAACGGTACATGTCTTAAAGGCTTTGTCTGATCATGTATGAATTAGAAAATGTTTATAATTTTTTATGTTCTATTGTGGTTTCTTCGAAAGTACATGTTTATTTCTACTACAAGAAAATACATAAGAATTATCATAATCAAACAATTTTAAACCTAGAAAAACAACAATATCTTTCAAAATATTGATCACATAATGATTTCAAGGGGTATACCATTGTGAATCGGTCATTGCCAGAAGTCACATGAAATTACGCTTACAGTCCTTATAATTATTTAAAAAAGGTAACAAATACAATTTTTAATTTTGAAAATGTAAAAATATATTATACTTACATACAGGCTATAGATATATATTATACTTACATACAGGCTATAGATATATATTATACTTACATACAGGCTATAGATATATATTATACTTACATACAGGCTATAGATATATATTATACTTACATACAGGCTATAGATATATATTATACTTACATACAGGCTATAGATATATATTATACTTACATACAGGCTATAGATTCTGGACCTCTGTCGACAATATATTATACTTACATACAGGCTATAGATTCTGGACCTCTGTCGACAATATATTATACTTACATACAGGCTATAGATTCTGGACCTCTGTCGACAATATCTCCATTAAAGAGGTAAAGATTCCCTTTTGAGGGTTCACCCTGAGAAATAAGATAATTAATTCTAAACCCATAATTCTTTATAATTATTTGCAAGCAAAATGTTAAAATCTAAAACAAATGTATGCATGTGCTTGTTTATTTAAAGGGACTGTAAAGGAAAAAATGAAAGGAGGTATAGGCCGAAAGCTAATCACTTTCGCTCTTGATCGCGACCCATGAAAGTTGTATCTGGTGTTTCTGTCTCGAGGAATTGATATAAAATTAAAACTGTGTTTATATGCAGCAGAACTCCCGCCAATGAGAGTGCAGTATACTGGTCAAGTACAGGGTGTCCCAAAAAACATGGGAATTCAGTGTAATACCTAATTTCAAAAGCCATAATATTATTATGTCTGCTAGAGTTTATTTTATGAAAAGTGTAAAAGACTGTAAAGATGTGTCTATAATGTCTCCGCAAGATGCAAAGTGAAGAAGGACAAGTTTACTGTAATTTTCTTGTTTCACTTAGTACAACCGTATGCAGTCAAAACATAAACAAACAAAATGTGAACATAGCAGACAAAACTCTTACAGATTGCAGCTTTCTCAGTAGGTATCACTATACTATATCAAAGAATTATTTTAAAAGACGATATCGAATTCGTCACTGAATTCCCATGTTTATTGGGACACCCTGTACCTCTGTCTGTATCACGTGACAAGTATACTGCACTCACATTGGCGGGAGTTCTTGTGACATAATGAATAATATTATCAATTTTATCTATTAAAACTAAAAATAAAATTATAAAATAATAATTGGAGAAAACCTAAGTTACAATTAGGTATCTCTGGCATATCTTCATTTTCAGATTGGTTGCGTATTTGCTGAATGTGATCTGTTTAAACCTTCTATTTTTATACAAAATTGCACATATAAGAATTTTCGTATGAATTTGACACCTAGTTACATCAATTTCGCGAAACAGGAACATCAAATATAACTTCCATGGGTCGCGATCAAGAGCTAAAGTGATTAGCTTCTTATACCCCCTTTCATTTTTCCTTTACAGTCCCTTTAAAATGTTTTCATTTTCATTCGTGGTTTTTCTGTAAAAGTGACTTAAGTAATTCTTGTTTATAAGAAACATTGGAGAAAATTACAGAATTTAACACTTTTTAAATCGGAGAAGCAACGTAATCTTCCGAATGTTTGATCATATTCAGGATTCAAAGGTAGGGCTGGGCGCGTTTGGACTTTTTTCAACGGTTAGCTAAAACTGTTATATATATTTTAAATTGCCGTTTGTTGTTTAAAAAGATATGTTTGTTTTATTAACGGGTTCTTCCGTTATTTGTTAAAGCTACCGTTGGTTAACGATATCAATATTAATAACTTTGTTTACAGCAGATATTTTAGAAATTGTTAATGGTGCAATTAACAATAAATTTATGTAAAAATAGCTGAACAAATTTGAAGACAACATTAAAAAACATTAAAACATGTAAAAAAACAAAGAAACGTCAAAAAACATAAAAATCTATATAAAAAGGGGGAAACATTAGAATATATAAAAAAATTATCTTTCATTTTCTGGAAGTTCCATGCAAATTTAAGCAGAGAGAAATAACTAATGTTGTCGTTATTTAAAACACAGTTTCGTTTTTTTTCTACCGATTATTTTTGCCTTTCAAAAACGGTTATTTTTGCCATTCATTAACAGACTTTTCAGTTAATTTTTAAAAAACCTCTGTTTCCTTAACGAAACTTTCCCCAGCCCTAGATTCAAGTGTACTGACGTAAATCGGCATATCTAAATATTTGTGTGAAAGGTTAATAAAAATTACGCTAACAAGTACAAAAATTTCAAGAAAATTAAGTTCTTCCCAATCACTAGTTGTATTCTACCTTGAGAAAGAATATATTTTCCAGATCTCTGAATTGCCCATGTACATCTCCACATACATTCATACAATCCTCATCATTCAACTCTACCTCAGCCAAACTTAAACAATATTATTTATTCAAATTTAACTCATTTATCTACAATTCTTATTCGCCTATAATGGGCAAATCAATTAAAACAACCTACTCTGGTTAGACGGGTAAATTGTGATTTTTATGGGTACTTCAGACTTCTATTAGAGCTGGGTACGTTCAGACTTATATTGGGGATGGGTACTTCAAACTTATATTAGGGCTAGGTACGTTCAGACTTCTATAAGGGCTACGTACATTCAGGCTTCTATAAGGACAGGATACGTTCAAACTTCAATTAGGGCTGGGTTTATACAAATTTTCATTAGACATTTTACAAAATGTTGGCAAATGGTTAGTTAAAATACCAGAAATTACCAATTTTGTGTAGGGACTTGTTCTTTCTTAGTTATAAATTAAACATTTAGTTTTGTTAACAATTTTTATTGTTCCTTTATAAAGTTTTCAAATATACTAGCCATCAAATTCATCGTTAAAGATGGTCAATTGTCTTTATTGTTAGAAAAAGTTAAAATGGCCAACACTTTTAATAAAACGTCTTTTCCAAAAAACAAGCGTTTCAACTTTCAGAATGATCGTTTTGCTATGACTTTTTTCATTGTGATAGAAGTAAAATCAGTTTAAAAAACAGGACTCTGCCCATCCCTACAAGTTACAGGTAGAAATAAACAAAATAAGGATTTTAAGATATTATTGACCATAATTCCTGAAATAGGACAGTAGGCCAAATAGGAAGGGGATGGAAGGGTGATAACATGTTTTTTAAGAGTTAGAAGAAATATATTTGGGGACTTCGTTATTTTTAACAACTATTTATCTTTTATTGAAGTATAATGTTTTACGGAATATTTGTCAACAATTTTATTTCACTCTTATAGGTCATTAACTTAACGATGATTCCTCAACTTTGGGCAAAACTCCAAAAATGAGGGGCAAAAACTTTGAATAGAATCAGGAAACCTCTTCGGCGATATAATTGTTAGTTTGAAAAAACGTATCTGTTCAGATAGGTATGAAAACTTTTTAAAAAGTTGTTAAATCTAAAAATAATATGTTGGAGGATTGTTGTCCGCACAATTTTAAGAATAATAGGCTTTGTTGATAGTCCAAAATATTTGGGTTTGTAATCTTTTATTTAAATAACAATACAGTTAAAAAGAAAGTATAAGACTGAGACAACCTAGCGGTATTAAACTAAACTAAAAAGGTCTTCTAGTTGATATACGAAACGTCCATTCGCCACGGAATCCAAAATAAAAACAACCGTTTACAAACTTAAAAAATTTGTATCATCTACAGAAAAAAAATAATTTTCAAAGTTTATGTCTATAACTATCTGAACCACATTTATGCATATCTTATTTTTAGCTATTTACATTATTTACGAATTTTACACACATGGTGTTAACTTGTGTTACTAAGGGTTGCTAAGGGTTTGGGATTGAGTAGTATTATAAATGAGGTCTCCAGGGAACACATAAGGGGCTGGAGGAATAAAAGGGGGCCAGGCGGGGATTGTATATGTCAATCAAATAAACTTAAAAATGTAACATATTTTTAAGATTATCAAATTAAAGCTTTAAGCTTGTTTCTTATAATAATTCTGTAGCGAATATATAAGATTTAGTTTAAAATTTCAAAACAAAAAATGGATATTAAGGGCCATGAGGTTATTCATTCACTGCAGGTTGTAAATTATTTTTATAATTGTATACATAAATTATGATATCACAATAGTACCCTTAAACACTATATCCGATCAATATTGTGGAAGATATTGTGTTTTTTATAAATTGAAAAGTGTTTAATTCTGAACATGCCTACATTGTTTTCTAGCCCAAATCGCTATTGTAGAGAAACCACAAATAAAAATAATAAATATAAAAAATATGAAAATCTATTTCATAAACGATCACTGATCAGTCAACGTTTTTATGAGTACTGTTGTAAATCGGATTTGCTAATTTTTTTTTAATGAATGATCAATTGAATTATTAAGTTTACAGACCCTTTAAATATAGTTAATGATGAACTTACCTAAGTTCAGAAAGGAATTGATTGTCCATTTGAACCCCTTCCTTCAAAACAGGACCCCCATAATCCTACAATTTTTTATTTTAGAGAAAATGTTTGTTTTATATTTTCCAAAAAAAAGTATTTTATGCATTCTAAATTTCTAAACTGGTTTTCGTTTTTTTAACATTAAAATAAAATATGTCAAATTTTCAATATAATGAAACAAACAAACTCTTGTATAGCAGTATAGTACGTGTGTTGCAAATTATATGCAAGTTTAAACATTACTAAGGTTTTCACCGATGACCAATTTTTGAAAATAGATGCGCGCGGTAACTTTTACATTGCAATTTGTCTACTGTGCACACTTATATAAATGTTTAGCTCAATATCTCTAAAACTCTAGAATACAATCGCTAGTAAAGTTTGACAAAGTGCAACATAGCTAAACAAATCTTAAATTTATCATATTAAATATTATTTTCCAAAAACAATAAGTCAGTGAAACAATTTTGAAAAAAAAAAATAGACTGATAAAAAAAACTTTGAAAGAATTTGACAGCTGTTACCTAAATTTTTCAAGAAATACTCACGGTATGAACTGCAATGGATTTTTTTTAAATTATTCATCATTTGTCGACAATCATTTTGCAACCGATTTTCGTTGTTTTGGACGAAAAACGATAAATAATTCCCAAGTAACAACGAAGAAATGATACCTCTGGCAAAGGTCTAAAATCCAAGCTATAATATTACCATTTTCATTATTTTGTACCTTTAAACTTCTTCTTAGTGCCACTTTGTTTTGAAAAGTAATATTTTCCAAGCTTTGTTTACATTTATCTGTTCGGAATCTTTCCTGTACTGCAAGTAAGCTTTTCCGGCAGTCTGGTAGATATTTGTCTACAAAAAAAAGATTTCTTCCAGAAATTGTGCAATTGGCTTTCTTCCCAAGGGGGGGGGGGTCACAGTGACCACTCCTTGGAATAGGGTTAAATGAACTTTTTTCTTCAATAAGTTTGGCATTCACAGCAGAATATAAGCAAGATAGAACAATTTCAGAAACAACAATTTCACAATATTATATCAAATGAATTTTATTCCAATACATTTTAATGCTGAAACTTTTAGAGCGGGTTGAGATGTGCCATTTCTCCAAATGTTATTTTTTTGCTATTCTTTAATCTGCGTCAAGCTCGTTTTCTCTTCGTATTTTTAAACAAGCATTGAGTTTTTGTTTTTCTTCATAGGAATGTACGTGTAAATTCAATTGACCCTCCATGCTAAGCTGGTAATGCACGATTGACAGCTGTATCCATCAAAGCTATGTCTGATCGAGTATGAATTAGATATCATAGTTTTTGTTTCTTTAAACTGTTTATTTTCATTTGCTGGTTCTTACCAAAAGTGACTTGTGCATTCCTTGCTTATAAGAAGCAACACTTGTTGAGTCAGAATAATGAAGGTAACGTACACATTTTTGATCAGTTTAAGACTTCAAGGATATTGTTGCAAATCCGACATTGCCACCTTTGCATTACGTTTACAACTTCCTTTAAATGAAGTTAATAAATTCAAATCAATTTGTAGAACAAAATTTTAAATTCTTTTTTTTTTGCAGTAATCTTACCTGGTGTCCGTGCGCACGCCCATGTCGGGTCCCATTTAAAAAAATCTTTTATTTTAAAGTTTTTTTTACCTTGAATTGAGCTGGCAAAACTAGACATCATGTTGAGATTCATAATTTTTCTTGAATTTTTTTTCTGAAAAACTTTTGAAAGTTTAAAAAATTATTGAAATGACATATGTCATTCTAAGATATACCTGTTTCTTTTAACTTTGTGCACAAACTAAATGTTTCAAATTTTTTATCCTTAAATCTTTGCAACGTCATGTTGTCAGTCTTTGCAATTTCCAAATTCGTTTGCTTCTTCGTTGTCTTATTTCTCCGTTTGTTATTTTTTATCATGTTTTCCCTGGCATTAAATTCACTTTATTCTTAGAAATATCTACAATTTCAAATTGCTGTTTGGCACAATTGCTAGATTTTTTTCAGTTTTGTGCATAAAATCATATATGTTTTATATGGAAATGAACCTAAGCCTTATTGATCTTTCAAAATACGAAATACGAAAGGACTAAGATTCAGTCATAGATATAGTTCACACTTAAAGATTGCAAACTAATAAATATGTCAAGGAACTAAATCCTTGCCACAAACTCAATTTTTAAATCTCTATAACTTGGCGACCTAATGACAAAAACCTTTGATATTTCAAACTTTGACAGTTTGATCTGGCAGAATTTATAGTTTGAAATATCGACATCCGCATGGCAAAGGTATACAGATTAGAAAATAGAGTTCGTGACAAGCGATTGCAGTGCCTTTCTATAGAAATGGTCAGGGTTAAAAATATTTGCTAATTACATAGTTTTATTACAGTTAATGAATAAGATCTAATCTTTAAATTGTAATCTTTTAATTTTGTAAAAAAATTCGCAACTTTGTGCAAATATTTGCCTCCGGGGAAACCCTAGTTATTTGTCACTCTAGAAATTAATGGTGGAAACCCTAATTATATGTCACTCTAGAAATGAAGGGTGGAAACCCTAATTATATGTCACTCTAGAAATGAAGGGTGGAAACCCTAGTTATATGTCACTCTAGAAATGAATGGTGGAAACCCTAGTTATATGTCAATCCAGAAATGAATGGTGGAAACTCTAATTATATGTCACTCTAGAAATGAAGGGTGGAAACCCTT